CTACTGCTACTGCTGCTGCTACTGCTACTGCTACTGCTACTGCTACACCTACTCCTCCTCCTCCTCCGCCTCCTCCTCCTCCTCCTACTACTACTACTACTACCACCACCACCACAACCACAACCACAACCACAACCACAACCACAACCACCACCACCACCACCACCACTGCTACTGCTATTGTACTGCTGCCGCTGCTACTACTACACCTGCTACAACATTAAGTCACTATGTAACACTGTAAGCAGGTCATGTGCCAATGGCTTTAGAGATCCCATTTGATGGAGAGGCGCTCCTGTCGCAGCACGCAGATGAAGTGAACCTGGAGTCGGCCTACGAGGTGCAGAAACTGAAGGACGAGCCTCATGCCTGAATTTTGCCGACATTGGGGCCTTTTGGCAGACCTTGCGAAGTGAACCAAAGTGAGATTTAAACATGAATCGAACATGCCCGTTGCGAGGCGGCTCCATGCTTGGCGAGCACAAATCACACAGATCATCTATTTGCACCACGCATCCACGAGACATGTCCAAGAGTACTTGAGGCATCGAATATCAGACGGTTCATCGACAACCCGTTGTCGCACATTCCCCGCGCGAGAGCATGCGCAAGTATCGTTGTGGCCGTTGGAACAAGGTATGTGCACTACTGCTTGCGGGACTACCGGGAAGAGCTTGAAGTCCTTGGTCGCAGAGACTTGAAACTGGATGCTGCAGGGCTGCATCTGCGAGATTTGGGGTTATTTGATGTGACGGCAGCTACATGCCTCGATCTCGTACCACAGTAAAGCCTTTTTCGTGCGGATCACCGTTGAAGATGTGAGGAGCTTGACTAAGCCCCATGGGCATCGCACCGATGGGGGCGGCCAGGTTTTGCATGCACGGAGTTCTTGAGCAGCTAAGTGGGTCGTTTCGTTCAGCTCTTGGGCTGCTCTGCTTCCCGATGGCCCCCTAAGCGGAACTTTGGAAGCCTTTGGGCCTCCAGTTGGGTCCTGCCACCACTGCCTGTGTACATGTATCCCGAGGCCCGTGGCGACCGTCGTTTGCAGATCTTGCGCGACAACGTGCCACTTCAAATGCAGGCGAAATGGTTCATGGAGGCTCGCGATTAGTCGGGTCGGGGGTTTGAGGCTTTGTGGGGCCAGAGTTTGTTTGACTTCCGCCGGAGCAAGAGTGCATGGCGCGACATGACGATGCAATTGCGCTGACTCTCACTCACGACCTGTATTTCGGGAACATGCGGTGGAATGAGGCGTGCAGGCACAAGCGCTCTGCCTGCATGCTATGACTTGCTCTTTCTGTGGCTGTGATCCGGTAGCTAAACACAAATGGCTCACCCCTGTTGTTTCGTGCCACGTGTTCCTGCCACACTTGTCTGTGCTATTATGGTTGGCCTCATGGCATCCGGCTTGGAAGGCCCCAGGTTGGGTCATGTGCAGACTACAGACTAGCGGGCTAGCGGCGAGCCTCTGTAGTGCGCGCCGCAAGCCAGAGAAATAGTTTTGTTTTTTGCAGGAGGTGTGCAACCCTGAGCACCTTGCCAGTGCTAGATTCTGCAAAGTTCGTCATTGTAATGGCTGGTGATAAGCCGGTGGGGTGATCTTTCAGCTTTTGGCAATGTATCTTCGGTCTGTACAGGAATGTCGTATGCGTGGATTGGGTCCTAGCAGCACGAGACACTCCAATGACCTTTGATTGTTTCGGGGTATTGCGAAATCACTTGGTTTTAGTCTGCTCTATGCTATAGAACTTTGCAAGCTTCCCGGCCTTCAACCACAACCTGCCAAGCCGTCTTAGGCCTCCCAAGATAGCCACAACGCAGGATCCCCCCAGCCTTGGCAGTTCGTGCCTGTTTCGGGGTGTTCAGCCCGAGAAAAGCTCTAAATGAGAGCCGTTGAATTTTGCCAGCTTCCATGCCGCGCACTTCGTGTGCAAGCTCGTCGATGTTGCGCTGTTCAGGGGGTTGCATGTGGGGTCATGACTTAGAGGAGTCTTCAGGTACGACATGTCGGAAACGACTGTCAGTAGGTTCGTGCTCGATATCCAGCTCGACGTTTTCATCCGAATTCGGTGTTCGAAATAGAAACAACATGGGGATTCGAGTCTTTGCCTCCGCCCTCGGCCGACCAGGTGGCAGAGCAGCTGGCCTCTGCACGATCAATGGCTTCAGGCTGGGCAGTTCCGAACTATGAATTTGCACGGCTGCATGCAGGCGTTCTCCGGCTGGGTGCCTCTTAAACGATTTTGATAACCGCGTATTCGCCGAGCAGAGCGGCGCTTTTTTGACAGTGTAACCATCGCGGGCTAACCTTGAGCACAGAAGACCAACCTCGTCAATCACTAATCCGACAGTCTGGAAACCGGCGTAGAATCCGATCTCCGAGGCCATGCCCCGAGTTGGCAAAAGAGAGCCCTGCTCTACTGCGCATGCTGGCAGGAGGTCGGTCTACGGAACTTTCTCAGCGCTGCTTTGAGTTTCTTTACCCTGTCGGGTCACTGGCTTGCAAGGTTTGTGTTTGGACATGGCATGACATGACGAGGGATCCCAGATACATATCATCGGCCATCAAATCGGCGGACATGGATCTCAACCCGAAAGAAAAACCATCCGAGACCCCACCGTTTACCCTTGTGAAACTCCCCTGTCTTTTGTATCGTAGTTGAAGAAGCCGCGTTGACCCCTGTAGATGAAGAAGTTGGCCTGCAGGGCTTTGTACCGGATCATAGAAGCACTAGCACGGTACAGCGCCTTTATTCTACTTACCTGACCGCAGGCGCCTTCAGTTCAAGCTCCAAACAGAGCGTACGTTTTCCGCGTTGTAACGCCGGAAGCCGACATTCGTTCCAAAACCCTGATGCGGTGTGGGATGAAATCGCCGTGACATCTCTACCTGGGACCTTTGTGAATCTTGCCGGTGTTATTTGAACTCTGGCTGTGGCGAAAGTATATCAAAGGATCTGTGGTTGTGGGACACTCCTTCAGCTTCGTCTTTGCTTCTAGACGGGGTATTCACAGCTCACAGACCCGCGGGGCCTGGCCTCACTGCTCAGAGTCTATCTTGATTGGAGGATGATTCCCAGATGGACATCGCCGCAGAGTTAGACAAGCGGAAACAAGAGGTGCAGGCAGGACGGTTACAGATTGAAGGCTAGGGTTTCCACCGCCGACTGACAGACAGGATGTAGGATGCTTCGCAGCAGATCGGTGCCAATCCACTCGTTTCACGCCCTCGTGGGAGAACACTGAACCCAGCAGCGTGAGAGGGGTAAATTCCTGCCGATGTCCTAGACAGCTTCATGAGACAACAGCCCAGCAGGCGCTTCAGGACGTCGAAGTCCCAAAGAAGATGAATGTCTCCGTGCAAATTGCGCATCTTCGTTCCGAAATCATCGGGAGCCAACAGGACCGCAGATCTTTTTAGGAAGTCTTGCTGGGCTCAGACTGCCGGGAAGCATACAATCTGCATGCTCATGCGCGAAAGGTGGGATCCCATGCTTCGGACCATGATTGGGGAGAGAGATTCCCTCGCTGTCAAGACTCGGCCAGGAGTCTATTTTGCTGGCTGAGCTGAACACGGTGGCAATGTTCGCGAGGTACGAACAGAAGGCCCATGCTCAAAAATATGTCAAGCGATGCAGGCCAATCCCCGAAGCATAGCTACTTCAGCTCGGGAAACGCGAGATACGTTGTTGTGCTGGGTTGGTTTTGGACTTCCACGGGGAGGCAGTCTTGAAGACGATGTTTAGCCAGATTGTTTTGAGCCCCTGAAGCCGGCGATGTTCTACTTAAAGCTTGCGGGTAAGCTTGATGCCGAACAGTGCGCAAACAGTGCTGATCAGAGCAGAGAACATAGATCCATAATTTGGCTATATACGCATTCCAAACAACCTGCTGCAGCCCAGCTGTATCGGATTCCTGCGGAGTGCCTAGATTCCTAGATGCTGCCCTTAGTATGCGCCATGCCATAGATGGTTGTCTTAAGCAGTGCTGCTCCACTCTGCATCGGGTTACCACCCGCAGCTTGTCGTTGATTGTCCACCGCGAGGTAGATTGGAAGAACATGCCGGCAGCAAATGTGGAGTTCTACTTGAAGTTGCAGAGGATTGGTCTCTCGGTTTTGCCTAGTTGTCAATATTCTGATCCTGTATCCTGCCGACTACAGTCCGGATGCAGGGATTTCGTCTGTGCTCCACGTCCATGTCATGTCACAGCACTTTGTGCTGTGAGACTGTTGCACAAACCTCCGTCAAGTCCTTCGCGAAGCTCGGCTCGCAGCTAAGGAGTGACACATGAGGACCTGGACATGCTAACCTTTGGAGACGGTAACGACGAGCCGGCGTGCCTGGGCAAGTTTCACTCTGGGACTTGACGGTTTGCATCGGACCAGGCTCGAAACATCTGTCTGCCTTCTGTGATGATCTCGTGAAGTGTCGTACTGGCCAAACCCCTGTGGGTCTCACCAAGTCGATGTCGGCACCATGCATTCGCACATAACTTGCTTACTTGCTATTTTTCTGTGGATTGGAGCTGCCGAGGTTCCTCTTCGAGGTGCAGAACCGCATCTCCACTGCACTTCGGAGGTGGCAAATCTTGGAATCCCGATGCTCGCATCCTTTCGGGTTAAGTCGAAACATGCCGAGTCATGTCCAGGTCTTGCAGTAGAACGGAGGCTGCCCCACCGCCCCTTCTTATCCGATAGCAGTCGAAAGTGTCGCGTAGTCCTACCTGTTGTGATTGTCGTTGTTGTTATTCTTTCCGTTGTTGTGATAAAGCATTAGCATCATTAGCATTGATGTGGCCTCTCTTGTTTCTTCGCTGTCAGCTATGTTGGAATTTTTGCTGTTGTGGCTTCGTGTGAATCTCATGTCTGAATATCTCAGTACATGAGCTGCTTTCGCGAGTTTCTGCAGACTTGAGCATCGGCCACAAACGCCCATGATCCTCGGCTTGTGCAGAAAGGTATTGAAGCAACTCGAACGGTTGTCTCACTGAAGTCCAAGATGCAGCCGCTCCAGCCGCTCGGTATGTGTGAAGTGTCATCGCCGCAGTTTGTGACCAACTAAACTTCGACCACGGCTTGCACGAGTTGGAGCCCGTTTCTTCGGCCAGAACCATAGCGATGGAAGTGTTCGCAGACAAGCATCAATCTCTCGGAAGCCGCAACTATTGTCGTCAGTGCTGCAGTCCACTCCAAACTCCAACTCTGGGGCTGAGCGGTGCCACACCATTCTGAATAAGGCAACTACTAGCATCCTAATTCAGAATAGCACAGGCAATCAGAGAAGACAGGCATGCGGATAGTTGACTGAATCAGCGTCAGACCTGAGGTTTACCTTCAGGGACAGCTTCCTGAAGAGTTTGAAGATGCTGCAGCACGAGATCAAACAGACACAGCAGGACCTCGTCGTCGAATTGCAAGTAGAGACAAAGCCGACCAAGTTTGTTGATGCTTGGCTCAAAAGATCTCAAAAATGCGGAGCTGGCCACTTTTGTGTAGCTGGGCGACGTAGGATAGCAACTATAAGTCTGCTTGGAACATCAGAACACGTGGGCTGTGGGCTATTGAGCACACATCATGTTGGAGAGCGACGGGTGGCACCTGTCCTCGGCTCTCCCAGCAGGTGAGATTGCCATCAGCAGTGAAGCGCTTGACAGGGTGGCCGGTATATATTGAGGGTGATCAGGGGTGATCTGCAGGCTTTCGGTTCATACAAAGCGACGGAAGCTCCGGGCTTCAGGTTCAAGTCTTCCCATGTTTTCGACTAAGGACCTGAGTCCCACTGGCTCGGAGCTGGCTCTGCAAAGGGTGGCCATCAGGAACAAGTCAAAGAGCGGCCTTCTCAAAGACCAGACTTCTGCGGCTGTGCCCCCTGACCATGGCTCCAGCTATGAGCAGGCGAAGGCTCCGCTGCAGTTTGGGGAAACTGCTCGATCCGACACGTTTGCGCCATTTGCAACTGGCTAAATGTTGCCGAAACTCCAAAGTGCTCGTTTGCCTGGCTGGTTCTATTGTTCCTGGTGCCGCTGAAGGGGTGACGTTCCACATGTGCAACAACGCGAGACTATGCAATGGCTCCATTGGAAGACCACGGTGCATCACTCCACCAATCTCTGCAGTGTAACAGGACCAGTGACCAGAGTGCCGACATAACACCACGCCACATTCAAAGGTGGTTTCAGCAGGCACCGAACTACTAGTTAATTCGTTCACTGCCACTGTAACACGGCTCTGCAGAAGAAAGTGCTGCACGATTTTGCCATCACACAAGCGTTCTATAGACAGCAAGTTCCGTGAGTCAGGCCTGGATGGAGAGCGAGGCCGGTCAGGAGATGCTCAGCAAGGCTCGCGAGAGAACTCCGAATGCCATGGAGGTAGATCCTGGGCTGTTTAAGCCGAATGTATTTCTGTTGGTCTCTCTCTCTCTCTCTCCCTGTCTCTGCCTCCTTGGTGATAGCAGTTCCGGTTCCACACGTCGACATCGGGAGAGTGTACCCTGCCACTGATATTGTGATCCCAGGATGTGGAGCTTTGTGCGCCGCGACTACACTTCAAGGTGCGTGAGAAGGTGCCCGGACTGCTGACTGCTGCATCAGGGATGCATGGGTGGTAGAAGGAAGAGTCCATAGTGTTCGAAACGACATTTCGCAACTGCCTGCTATTCCCACGGCACCTGTAGGCCCGAGACTTCGACTGACACAGCTGCTGCTCGGGCTGCGTTCCGTTCTTCACACTAGGGATGTTAGGAAGCTTGCTCGGATTTTCGCGAAAGCGAGAGCTGCCGCTGAGAGCGCTTGAGCTGGAAGGCGTCAGTGGAGGTGTCCTTCGGCACGCTGAAGCTGAAGACCACAGGCGAAGATCCTGGGCTGAAATTCACGAGGCCCAGGTGCAGGGCAAGTCTTTGCGTCGGCAGATGTCGAATGTCAGGCTCAGCAGCCTCAACACAAGCCCATCCCCAAAGCGAATGAATGCCCGCCACAGAACGCGACGATTGTGACTTCCGAGGATCACGATATTGACGAGCTGGACAAGGTTGAGATCGAGATGACTTTACAAAATACTCAGCTGCCACCTGCTTATTGTACATCTTCCGGGCCACACGTGTCGGAAGATTGAGAACTTCGGCATCTTGCTAGCCCGATCTTCTTTGGAAGACCTGCACTTTCGAAGGTTCAGGTCAGGCGTCTGCGAGTCGGATATAGCCAGCCTGTAGGTCATGTCAGGTGTGCTGTGATTGCACGGAGAAGCGTTTGACATTCAGAGCCAAGGTCTGTCCGAAATCGAGCCGGGTCGGAGCATGTCATCCTCTCGTGGCTTTGCTGTATGTGAGCTGGATTGGGCGACCCCCTAGGATGCACCCACTTGGCTATGCTACTCTGTGCATGTCGAGCAGGTGCCATTCTGAAGAGTCTTAGTCTTAGTCAAAGGCCCCAACACGTCACACAAGAGTCTGAAGAAGAGGACATAAAGAAAAAACAACACTACGTCATGATCAAGCGATACATCTGAAAAGGTTGAGAACGACACAGGCATACTGTAAGACCCGACCCGAAAACAACTAGCAATGAGTTGACATTGCGTGTGCCTGTTGGACATACCGGGCTTATAAGCTGCCATGCGCTTGCCTTTCTGAGTCCAGAGGGACAACAGGATGCATGGTTTTCGACAGGGGCGCGGAGGTGATTCAGAGAGGGAAGCACACGGCTTGCACAGAGAGTGCAGAGAAAGTGAGAGTGCTCGCTCGAGATCGAAAACCCAAACAGACACGAACATTGTCCGGTGTCGCAACCCTCACCGAAAGCCTAACGCTCTGAAGCTATTCTGTCGAGTGCAGAATGAAAGACTGCAATGATCGTATTCATGTGACATACCGTCTTTGCGTTCGACACATGAGGCCTGTGATGCTCTCTACGACGTTGTTCTACTCGCCGAAGGTGGCGCAAGTCTGCGTCGTTTTGGGCCCGGTGAGGATCAATGCCTCTCCTGTCGCTGGGTTGAGATCATGACTCGCAGTGGTTTCGAACTGCGGTGGATCTTGCTGTTTTGCTGCAGGTTGCGTGACTTCGCGAGTTTGGCACATGGATGCGAAGGATTCAGGACTGGAGGTGCTTCCAGGGGAATGTTCCGAGCCCGAGGTAATGCTGCAGATCCTGGCCACCGTGCCGAAGGCCAACTTGCAGTTGCCCACATGTCCTTTACACTGACTGCATATGTCCCGTCAGTCGAGCTTTGGCCGCATGCCAGCTTGTTTGAAGAATGTGGCATCATGACCTCCCAACACTTCTTGCCGGCTAAGCATCAAACTCTTGGCCGCCGGGTCTGGTGTCAACAATTTTAACCCTGAGAGTCTGAACCTTGACCGACTAGTCCAAGAATGAGAGCATGAACCGGCAATTGTAGCCTTTTGGAAGATGCCGCGGCAAACAATGGGCATGCCGACTGAACTTCGTTTAATCCTGTAGCTGTACATGATTGCCAATTGCATCCCAGACCTTGCGAGGCAGAGGAATGTAAAGGCACTGAAACCCCAGGCCATCAGCAGAATCACCGACATCATGTGGAGCATAGAAATTTTTGAAGTGACCGTAAGGCAACAGGAACCGCAGAGGAGAATTTAAAGCATAATTCATTGGATTGAACCTAAAGGCATCTGGAGGGTTGACTGGAGGTGTCTTTTGGGAGGGCCATGCGACACATGTTCTTCAAGAGTTGAAACTGGGTCTACGAACCTGAGGTTAGGGACGGCTCGGGTTTAGGAATTGAAGTGTTGCACACGTCGCTTGCTATGTTCGCCGCCCGGACTCTTGGAAGTGTGCAGTCATCAATCTCCTAGGCGAGTGGCACCACATACTAGTAAGCTGGCGTGACAGGAGCTCAGTCCGGGCTTAGAAGTGAGCTTCACCTATCCAATCTGGAGGTGCTGCAGGATGCCCTGGCCGATCCAGTCGACCCAGATGCACTGGAGGCTGCTCTGTGCTGTGCACCCTCAGACTTTCCACGGATGGAACGAGTCGCCGGTGACTAGAGGGAGCGCAATGCTTCTAGGCAGCCATCCACTTTGTTCTGGTGGCTCCTTGTCATGTGCAGGTTACACAAGCCAATGAGGAAGCACCGCAGGCGGAGTGTGCTGTGCGCTGTTGAATAGGTTCTACATGCACTGAAGAGATGTTGCGAGAAAGACCGAGAAAGTGCAGCTTGGTTTCAAAACATGGCCTCCTGCAAGTGGACAAGTCTGTGGAGTTCCCAACATCTCTTCAGCAGGTCAAGCCGACTCTCGAAGAAGCCCAACTTGTCAAGCAACTCGGCCTCGCTCAGTGAACAGGGGTGTGGCATGATCGGAGGTGCAGCAGAAGAACATGTCTTACATCTGCTGAAGGGATGCAGGGCCTAGTGCATGGCCGACCTGCTCGACAATATTGCTTGTTTTGGCATGATTGCTATTGTGACCCTTCGAGAGCTATCGCAAATATATGATAATATATAGTATAGGCTCAGCCACAGATCAAGAGGAGAGGTCCTGCGCTTGCATGTTGATGTTCCGTGCTCGGACAAGACCCTGGAAGCCTTTCAGCCCTCGCACGACCATGATGTCAATCATGTACACAGACTGTGCAAGGGTGAAGGTTCAGGGTTGACAGCTGCGCACTTGTTTCAATTCAATCCGTTGGTCCTCAATAATAACCTAGACACGTGGGAGGCAACAAAAGCAATGCATCCCCCAAAGCTCTATTCCGTGCATACCAACGTAGAACAGACACCATGTGGATTTGCTCACAGGGCCTCAGCGAGGAGCGCGGTCGCGGTGTCCCAGCAGTCGGTGAAGAAGTTGAAAGAAAAGACCGAGGTCACTTCCTGATTTCGGGTTGAGTTCACATTTGCAGTTGTGAGTCGAGCTTGCTGGCATTGACGGTTGTTCTTTTTGTTCTTGCGTTTCTATCTATTTCTTGCTAACTAGTTACAGATAACTCACTAGATGTTCAATGAGTTCCATTTGGAGTTGACCTACTGAGATTACCATCGATCCCTTCACCAGCCCGGCTCAACCTTAGGATAGCTACAGGCTTCTATTAATGAGACACTCACCTTGATGTCGTCATGTAGCTGCCCACACTGCCAGAACTGGCAGCAAAAAGTGTTTAGGGCCGGAAATGGTACGGAGATTTTCAGAAGCGAGTCGTTTTTCGCGAAGGCGAAGGCAGCACCGAGGCAGACCTGGCAGTTCGTTCTGGACATGGAGCACCTGGCCATCAACAGGATTCTGCAGACGGGCTCTAGCTTGAAGAAGGCATTTGCCCGAAAATGTTCAGCTTTTCCACGGAGCCTTAAGTGGTGAAGGCGCACGCCACGGACATTGACGTAAATGAGCTATAGTATACTATACAAATTGCATTGCAGACAAGCGACGCTCCATCTTGGACCGATAAGACTCCGGTGTTTATTCCTTCAGGGTCCGCCCAGCAGCGCCTTGTACTGCAGCTGAACCGTCAGCCTTCGAATCAAGACAGTGACATGGTGCGTGCAGACCTTGAAGTTTGATTTCGGCAGGTGTGTTTTCGCACCAGCCTCTCAACACACGTCTTGAAAGTGTCGGAAACCAGTACCAGATCAGTGAGGGTCTCTTTCCCCTCCCTCTCCCCACCAACAAGCCACGTTCCGTTCGGTGCTTTTTACCAAGACTCGGCAGAGCCAAGGCACGTTGAGGTCGAGCTCCGAAGTGACGCAGATCCCAATGCGCCTGTGCTTCGTGCTCTCCCCAGTTCAGCTGGGACTTTGACGAAGCACTCATCTCTCATGTTGGTTGCTTTCAGAATCTCTCTTGCTTGGTCTGCGGCGTGATGAAGATTGCGGTGCTCCTGGACCTAGTCGCCACTGATTCCTGACACCTCCTGACATGTTTGCCTTTTGCAAATCCGACACTTGCACTCGTCACCCTGCGAAATGTCGCAGCCATGCCAACGACGCAGTTGGGAGGTTTCCTTTCGTGCTGAGGTCTGAACGGTTGCCTGCAGGCAGTGGAAGTGCGCATGGAGGACGACAAGGCGCTGCAAGGGCTCGCGAGTGCGAGACAAGAGGATCGCCCTTTCGGAGGTGACCATCCCCTTGGAGACCTCAGTGATGGCGGATCCAGGCGATGACCCAGGCCAGGGCCAGGAAGCTTCGTGACTGGAGAGCCGTTGCTTCGCGTTAAGACGGCATCGTTTCTGTGCTCCGCTCGAGTGTGTCCTCAGCCGGCCGCTGGACAGCTGCAAAGACTGTGCCAGCCGCCAACCCTGGCCAAGCCTGCGGCGTGTCTGCTGGATGGTTGGGTTTTGGGTTTAGTCAAGCTCGGAGCAAGCAGAAAGTGGCCAACAGCTGTGGGCCCGATCAGAACCAAGACTCAGACGATTACCAGATTTCAGCATCTTTCTGGTGGCCCAAGCTCTTGGATAATTTCTTCCACAGGCTGACCTATACTGTGCCAAACACCTACGCATCTACGCAATCAAGGCCCTACTCGCAGAATCAGCCTTTCCCTAAGCCTCCCTACAGGCCCCAAACCCCACAGACCACATCACACCACAAGTGAACCTTTCTAGACCTCAAATCGTTCCCTTACCCTATTGAGTATTGTTTCCTAGGGATTTATTCGGTTTTATTGGATTCCTTACCCCAGCCCGAAGCCGGCGGAGGTCTGGGCCAGAACTGCCAGAAGCGCAAACAAATGCTCCGCCTGAGCGTGGATGGCTACAACATGGAGGTTACCGGGTAATTGCTATTCGTAGCATGATCATTCGAAGAAAAGTTTGCTCGTGCTAATGTTTAATGTTGATCCACGGTTGTCATGGCTTCTTGTGACTGCTGACTCCCGCCCGTGTTGTGTGTGTGTGTGTGTCTGTACCTCGGCTCTACTATTAGTTTGCTGCCCTGTCAGTTGCAGCACAGTCTAGCATGTACTGTAAGTAGGACTTAAACAGGCAGAGCCAGCACAGGAGCTGGTGTGCACGTGTGAGTGCCCCTCTTGCTACAAAGAATATTCCTAATTGAGTGCATGACGTGTGCACGCTCGGTTGACTGTCGTTTCTCTGAGCTCATTGGCCATAGCCACCTCGCAGCCTTGGCTGAGCGAGAGGGGAAATTAGTTCGAAGGAGGCACGCTACTCGGCGTTCGCGCAGTGAGACTTTAGTTCTGGAAGGTTGGACGCTTCGAGCCTGCGCTCGAGTCCTTCGAACTGGCCTGCCAAGTTACCAAAGAAGAATTGACAGGCCGAGACCTTGGTGGGGTAATGTGGAAGTGATGGCTTGAGTCTTGAGTTTAGCCTCCCATGAGCAGGGCGTGAGTTTTTGGGGCTTACATCACAATGTCCGGTAGTGCCAGTGCCTTCGCACGCTGAGGTTTGCACGTTCATCTAATCGGGCGGAAACCTCTGCTGGTCAATATCAACCCAGTATTCCTGCGTCGGCTCACGTGGTACGGCAAACGCGCCTTGGAAAGTGAGACATGTTTTTTTTGAACTGATTGAACTATTCGCTGCCGTCCTGGTTTCGCTTCAAGCTTGGTGAACTAGCTGCATGTCGCAAAAGTAGGTATTCGTTGCCACAGTGCGGTCCTCGGTAGCAAATCCGGATCCAAGGTTTGGCGGACTCTTTGGTTCCCATGCCCGAGAACCCTGGACCAACTCCAGTGCGCTACGCTTTGCTGAACTTGACAGCGGTGAAGATGAGGCCAGGAGATCAAAAAGTACTTTTCACCCAGGGCAGTTGCTTGGATGCGGGGTTGCAGAGAAGGCAGGGGCGGGCCCCTTTGTAGAATTTCGCCGGGCAGTTTCCAAATGGAGGACGAAGCAAAGAAGCAGTCGCAGAGCTCAGGCTACGGATGAAGCTGAAAAGTGGCGAGGTGGACGCTTGGCAGAATTGGAGATGGGCCAAGCGCAGGTGTCACTTCAGCCCTTTGTGTTGTGGAGCGTCAAGCCCATGCTTGTGATGTTGGCTTTGTTTCAGCCCACCAGGACTCAGGGTATAGACGCTTGCGCCAGCGCTGCTTCGGATGAATAGTTACTACTGTAGCATGAATGTTATAATTAACCTGGACGTCCCTGCAAAGATAATACGCCAGCGTCGTATCATACTTGCCTGCACGTACGGAACAGGAGCCCTTGCGAATTTCGTGAGCATTCTTGCGCTGGAGAGGCCTTTATGGATGTAGCTCCTACTGGTGATGCCTGGAGATCATTGGACCATCTGGAAGTGGAGTTTCCCCCGCTCATCCACATTTCCGCTCCTGAGTTCGCAGATTTGAGAACTCCGCCTTTCAAAGGTCCAGATAGATATCGCATGCTTCGTCAACGAAACACAGGAAGAACTGCAGCCTGAGAAGCTTTGTCGAAGCATGTCGCAGTCGCGGGCGATTCTTCGTGCATGAGCTTCAGTTGAGCTTGTGTCTAGTAAGCCGTCGGTGGGCACACAGATCTGCTTAAAGCAGTTCCCAAGCTTAGCATTGCAGCTTTCAGGTATTCCGACATTCCTGCCCTGTGGTCTCCATGACCGAGGTCGCAACTCCTGGCCCAACCCTGAGGAACACGGCGACCGCGAGCCATGCTGCAACTCGATTCTTATTCTACGGGTTCAGACAGCAGAGCCCGGGTTCTGTACTTCTTTACAGAAGTGGCAGTGCTTTTAGGGTTGCATTGGGTTGATTTGGGATAGCATCGCAGGCGCCAGTCCTGCCATCAGCGAATGTTGTTAGCCGGCCACAGTCTTGCAACACTCCTGGATAAAGTTCGACTGCATGCAACAGCAGGCAGCCCCTTTCCTCAACAGGCCAGAGGGTCCCAACATGGTTAGCCCAGCCAGAAGCCAACCTGTATGCACTTTGCTTTGCGAAGTCGTTTCTGTCCGCGAGCGCAGCCAATCCGTGAAGAATCAAAAGGGCAATGTCACGCATGTGGTCCGAGCAACGCCCTCGCGTTGTGCAAGCCCTTCTGGAATCGTCGTGTTGTCAAAGCGTGCTTTCCACCCTAAGCTCCTTGTGTCACGTAAACCTCCCAACCCATTCCCAGACGGTCGATCTTGGTCTGCTCAATTCTGCGAGGCACTGGGAAGGGACGAAGCCCATAGTCTTTTGGGGCTTGAGACTACGAAGCTGGCCACGGTTCAGTTTGAAGTTTTCTGGTTTGGAAGTGTTTGTCGGAATGTTAGCACGAGACAGTGGCTTCGACACTTTAGGTTATAACAAACATGGATTTTGTGTTCGATCCCTGCATATGCCGGTGGCATACACGCAGACTCGCTTGCTCGCCTTCTCACTCCCCACAATCGTTAATTCTCTCTCCCCCCTCCCCCGCTCTTTGTAGCGTGCTCTCGATCTCCTGCTGGCAAAAAGCAGCATGTTTGACACAGGATCCCGAACACGCCGTACATGGTTCAGCTGCTGCGACCGAGCGTGGAGGGTGCCCTGATTCTGATCTCTACGCTCCCTGGCCGAAGTTGTCACGGAATCTTCGGCCTTGGTTGTGAAGAGGGAGAAAGCTCAATCGACAGCCTCCGGGCACCTCCGAGCCAGGTTTCGGGCAGCTCATGGAGCGGAGGGGAAGGGAAGCGCCCGTGAGTCAATTGATGCGAAGTCCCAAACCGCGGCACGCCGAGGCCGGTCCGTATCTTCAATGATACAACAGTTAACTTGGGATTGCGCTCCGGCAATCAGCATGCGCTCCTTGGTCACGCAAAGTCAGAGGGCAGACTTTACAATGGGCGTAAGGGTATCAGAAAAGCTTTGCTTTACGGCTCGCAAGTAGTTGTTTCAATTTACCATTTTTCGCTGCCGTTCTTACAGCATCCAGTCCAGGTTGTGGACGAGCTGCGCTGAGAGGAAGTTGCTGTTCGATCAGCTGCTTCAAGATCGTGATCAAAAGATGAAAGAAACTGTACACCCAGGCCCCTATAGTGTACCCCATGGGTGCTTGTCAGGAGGCTAAACACGGACCTGCAAGAGCATTGACTCCTCCTATGGGCGTTCTGCAACGGGGAGTGCTGTCGCGAAGCAGTATTGATGGGGACAGCAGAAAACACGATCTGAGCAGTCTTGGAAGCCCCGTACTTTACCCTTGAAGCGGACAGGTGCTGTTCCCTGCTGGCTGATGCCGCGAGGCTTCGTAAGCGCACCCCTGGTGCCGCCTACGAAGCCGGAGAGTGAGTCGGAGGATGAGTCGGACGAAGACGAGCTTAGGGAAGAGGCCTGGGCGCTGGGCACTGCCGCATTCAGCGAACAAGCGGGGCTTTTTTCGGAACTGTTGCGATGGCCTTGGGCAGCCTCAGACCGCACCCCTTCCCTGTAACTTGTTAGTTGTCTGCGAGCTGCGAGGACATGAATTGGGAGATGCGCCTGACTTCGGCTTCGAGCGCGTGGAAAAGGGCCAAGTTGACGCCACTCGACTTTCAAGGAGTCCCTTTTCTGGGTGTCCCGCGACCCCCACCCAGAACTGTCGGCCAGGCATGCTTGCAAGTTCTCCAGCATCCAGCTCGGGCACCTTGCCTGCGGTTTTTTTTGGCTCCACTCGTGCGCCCCAGTGCCATTTTCCCTTTTCATGGCAGGAGTCTAGAGTTTTTGCTTCGGCTTGCTGGTGCGGATTCCATCTTGCTCCCTACTCCTTGGAGTTCCTGTGACTATATACTCCTTACAGAGAAACACGGTGCCCTGGTTCTGGGGGTTTCGGGCTTTCCAGCTCCGAGTCCTGAGCCCAAGTTGCGTATAAACGAAGTTGAAGGCAAGTTTTCTGCATTTACGGCTTAGCCTAGCGGCGATTAGCCACAAGTTGCGAAAAAAACATAGCGCCAAGGCGCAATTAATTACCTTTTTGCGGACGGGAATGCTGCAGCTGGAGGGTTGTAGGATCTGTGCCAGGCTCCCTGCAGTGCGCACGCGTGCGCACTCGTCACAACATGCGCGCACAATCCCGCGAATTGCTGGGTTGTGTTCACTGTGGCTATTGATGTCAGCCACTGTGGCTTGCATGCCCAAACTTCCAGCCTTGGCATGCCTGATGTGATGCGCGGAACCCATCCCTGCTGTACTCTGAAGTCTGACGGCCCTGCTGGGCTCACCTCGGATCAAAAAGTTTGGAGCCCTCGAAGTATCCAGAGGCCATCAGCTCACATTGATGTTGCCGAGGTCCGAGAGCGAGAAATTTTCTGTCCTCGCTGTGTGCGACTACGAAGTCTCGGCCCCCCCAGCTGCAGTGATCCTTGGTCAAACACTAATGGCACGTGTCGCGCGATGACATTGCAAAGTCCGTGGTGGCATGAGCTGGGAGCAGTTGCGATACTTATGCTGCAGGCAGTTGCTTTAGTGTCCGAATTGTTTTAGTGATGAGCATGGCAAAAAAAATCCGCACTATCACAACATAGGCAACGGAGGTTTCAACGCAACTCGCAGAAACAAGACCAGTGATAGACAACTGTTCTGCAAGCAGGCAACATCACCATACATCATGATGGGGATAAATATGCGGAAGGGCAGGACTAGGCTCAAAGCTGTTTTCTGTCTTGAAATTGGCCACAGACTGGTAGCAAGGCAAGCATGGGTGATACCCGAGGTTATGAAAGTTGCAACACAAACGGCGAGAACAAACAACGAACGAACTTCGCAAAATTGTTCAAGAAGAGTTGTACTAGCTACTATAATTGCAGAACAATACATTGCACGACACGCGAGCATCCTGCATATGACTCGTAATTCATGGATGCAAATTTTGGGATAATAATTAGAAATTTGAAAAATGGACAGATTCATCAAGCTTTTCAGGATGGTAGAATGATGCAGGTAGGAGCAGCAGACTAACGACGATGACAGTCTGCAAAGAGATCCACAAAAGCTGAAGTTAACAATTCCGGGTCGGAGTCTGGCCTACTTAGCCCTCAGATGGGAAGCAAGCTCGATTGTTGGGAAAGCTCGATCGAAGGAACATGCTCAATGTGCGGCTCTTGCCTCCTCTGCAGCTGGTGTCTTGCATGCCCTGCGACTTGGCGGGTACGCTCCAGCGCCGAATGTCGGGCCAAGCGGGAGCCAGCGCATGCAAAGCATAATGAGCTATCCCCAGCTTGAACACCCTGACCGGCCCTGACCTCGGTTCGCAGCACCGACCCACGAACCCCGGAAATAGCCTTTTTGAGTACAGAGCGAGGCCCGACATTGCCAAAGCCAAACTGGGTTCTGAATTCCGCGTTGCCATGTTCTCAGGTGATGTGGAAGTCTCTTATGCGCTCCAGTCTCCTTGGGAGAAGACAGACAAGAAGCACGAGTCGATCACGCGACTCCTTGAGCAGACAGGACCACCTTCGGCCCAGGCTCTGTCAGCACTTCGGAGGTCTTGGAGGCTTCGGGAATTACTGCCTCGTGTGGAGTGCCTGGCAGTGCCACCAGCACCGTCGACGGACTAGATCAGATCTGTGGCCTCCGCCATAGATGCAACCCTGTGTTGTAGGGGCCAAGAGTGTAACATTTTACCCGAATCCGCTGTTACTGCAACTCCGGGGCAGGAGCATTTTCAGCGCGGGGACTGTAACAGGTCCCCCAGGTCCGGGGTAAGATAGGAACAAAGAGCTGGCCAGGAACCATGCCCATCTATGACGTGGACTTCCCCGGTACAGTGTACATTCGAGCCCGTCTGGTGCCACACGGTGAATGGTCGACCTGGGCAGAACTGCTGCTCGAGGATGAGGCCAGGGAAACGGCTCTGCCTAAGCGACGTAACCTGATTGCGAGAGCCCTTAACCCCGCAAAGCGTCCGCTCCAAGAGTAACTAGTGTGTCGCCTCTTCCGGTACCACAAGTGAGCTTCTCCTTGAGTGAATGTTTTGCTGAGTCAGTCTGCTTAGGCATCTGTGCTTTTCACCTTAATGGGTGGACACTTGCTAACTAGACTAGCTAGACCCCAGGGTGGGTACTATGGCTTTGCTTCTACGGTATACGTTGTAAGCTCTGGGAGGGATTGTTGACGCTCTTGCCGACGTGCCGATTGCAACTCAACGTTGGAGGGTCACTGACAGATGGTTTGCCGCCGACATGCTCGTCGGATATCAAGTGGTACAGGAGCCTCGCCCCGTCCGCCAGGTAAATTACAGGCATCACAGCACAGCTTTAAAAGGCTTGCTAAACAGCCCCGAAGAAGTCGCATCGCCGCGGGAGGACATTGGGGAGGAAGATCGGCTCCTGAGCCGCCTCGAGGGAGAGATGACGGTCGAGTCCGAGCATCACGCGGACTTCACAATGTCCATCCTGGATAAGGGCAATGGCAAGGCCCATTCTGTCTGAAAGGTTTCTGCTTGCATCTCCGAAAGGGACCTCTAGATGGGAGTTTTGTATGTTCTTGTAAGGAATGAAGTTCTGTGAGAGTGTGCGGCACTGGGCACTGTACGTGGCAGAGCGATGCGGGTTTCTAACTGGCCGGACCTTGATCAAAAAAAGCACCAGACAAGACGTGAGTGCCTGCAAGGTGATGCTGTGCTGCCAGACGTGGCTGATCGACAGGCCGTGATTATGGCTATACACGTCATGATGATGCCCCATACGAGTCGGGGCAATGTTGCAAAGTATCGAAGGACGGTGGTGGTGATGGTGGTAGCAGTTTTGTCGACTGATTGTTGCAGGTGTCACTTGGATATGAGCGTCACTGCTGACAAGAAGCCTTTGGTAGATGCTGGAGAGGGCCTCCACTTGTGTGGATCACTTGCTGGAAGCTCAGTTTTCTCCTGCCGTCGCTCATTGGGGCTTCGGGATGGTTCGGGACTTGGCCTCACGATCTATCCAGGTTTAATCTTACCACCCCTAATATTAAACGGTAGGGGGGGCCCCTGCCCCCAATAGATACTCGGAAAGAGTTTTTATTTTTATTTTTATTTGTCAGATTTGGGTACAATAGTTATAGTAGTTAATAAACCCTATAAACCTTAAACTTAAACCCTAAACCGTACAGGCATATGCACTCAACCTTTAACCCTAACCCCCCCAATTCAGAATAGGTTTTAAATGGCAGGGCTGATTTGTGCAGGATTGGGCCCAAAGCGGTTTTATTATTAGGGGAGCGTTTAATAAAAGGGGAAGTGATTAGTAAGGTGAGTAGAGCCCCCAGTATTCAGTTCCACATCTGAGAAAGTGTTCTGACAGGGAACGAAGTACTGCTTGGAGCGGGACGGCAAGTTTGGCCCAAATTTTACACTTCCGGCAGGCGCGTTGTTCGAAAACGGCCGTACATCAACGTTTTGTCCCAACACTTGCTGTTGGTGCAGAGTCCATTCTGAGCTGGGATACTTGCAAGCAGGCCTCGCAGACTGGACCGTGACATCTGCGCCGCTTGGATGCCTTCCGTTTTCAAGATCTGTGTGTGTGTGCACAATGAATGTCAGCAGTGATGGTTCAGTGTCGGTCAGCTATAAGGCCGACAGGGCGAATGATGTGCATCCGTTCGACAGCGCTTGAAGGGCAGGAGGCCGCGAGCAGCAGCGATTGGTCGCTTACAGTATCCACCCTCGGAATAGATATTCCGTTGGGCACAGAGACCCACATAAAGAGTCTATCAGTTTTGGCCACGCGGGAGGCAAAAGAAGTCTTGAAGGACTTGAAGATAACTGGTCTTTCCGTCCCGGTGTGAGAATCGAGTCGAGTTTCAATCCATGACGCTCTGAGGACAACTTGGTCCGAGTTCTCGAGCTGCTGCCGCGTTACGTGGTGGTGAACGAGCTGCCCTTCGAGGTGGAGTTTAGGCCGGATCCTCTGAGCCCAAAATCGCATGCAGGGGATCGACACAGTACTGCATCGCTCCAATTCTGGTAGCATGCCATTTCCATTGTAGAGACAGCCACCCTCACGCCCACTGCTGGAGCAAGTTCTGAAGTGATTCGGGCTGCCGGACCTGGAATGTTGCCCTGTGTCTCAGGGCTGGCACATTCGATGCAGGGGGCCCAGCTTGCCGGATGTTAACCCTCGCAGGAACCATATCCTTGGCAGAAGCCCGAATTAGCTGGCCCTCGCTGGCATCCCCCTTCTTGCTTTCAACAGGGCAGCCACGCACCTTCAGTTGCCTTCCCTTTCAAGGTTTGTCCCGAGGACCTCGAGGTAAGGCATTTAGCGGCAAGGGCTAAACCGCCAAACCACCCATGAAAATAACATATGACAAGACTGAAGAAGTTCGGAGTGCTTCAACATAGGTTCTTAGAGTAACTTCAGCTTTCAATTCAAGGCAGCGGAAGCTGCGAGGTCCGGTAGCTGGACGAGTTTGCCTGAGGAAGCGGCACTGAGAACTTGTCCCGGCATGCGATCATTAACATTGGCTGTGAGTCTCAGGTCATTGTGGATGCTCGCAAGACCCTCATGCCTCGGTTCACGGTCGAAAGCCTGCAGTTCCGCATCAGAGAAAGGACCCTGGTGACTGCCTCATGCGGACTTCTGCGCCTAAAGTTGCGAGAATCATTCGCAGGAGCATAGGCTAGCTTCCCTCTTGCCACAGAAGGCCCTTGGGCCTTCCATGCCCATACATACGGTATGATTTTCATCGCGGGATTCTTGGCCTGCGAACCTTTCAAAAGGTCGGCGAAAAGCTCGGGCGACTGCCTCATTTCAAGCCTTGGCTTACAATTAGGGCAGAGGGCAGGTCACTTCCACACGGTCCGGTGCGCTGCTTCAAGAGGTGTCGTTTGCGGATCAAGGGCGTCCTCATCTACATCAACTTCACAACGGTGCGCCTGCGCCGGAACACCTTCGCAACCGTTCGCCTTCGCATGTATGCAAGTCGCTTAAACCGTTCACGCGATCCAACCTACTCGTAGCGACCACATCCACTTAAACCGGATGCCAAAGTGCTTGTAATGCCTTAGGGTTTCTTTCTCGGGTGATTGCAGGCAAAGTCGGCGAGGTATTGCATACATGTATGGTGCATGGGTGAGCGAGTGAGTGAGTGGGAGGGTGAGAGAGAGAGAGAGAGAGGTCCTCTGACCGTAGCAGACGTAGGGGAAGGTGTCCCAAAGTATATGAACTGAAGTTGTCAATGGGGGAACAAATACTCTTTGACAATAAACCCCATGTGACAATCAACCTTCTCACATCCTCCCGAAAGCCTCGCAAACTGTGGGGGGCCTATTGGCCGGGGGGTTTGACAGACCCCTCATGCCCTGGGGAAGAAGAGAGACAGAAATTACATCCTTTTCCCGTGGGACCCCCTGAAGTCAAAACCTTTTCACGCCTCCTCAAAGCTCCATAACATATGGGCGGCCTTAACGGCCGGGGGGCCTAAACAGCTCCCTATGCCCTGGCGAAGAAGATCGCGTGAGGGTGTGTGTGTGTGTCTCAGGCTAACATGGAATGTGTTTTTCCTTCTGCGTGCAAGCACTGCCGTGGCAGGACATCGACCTGGTCCTCAGAGATTCCTGTAACGGAGAACTCAGCAGGCGGGAGTTCGGCGAGAAGCCGCCTTGCATCTAGCTTCTTCTCGGATGAGTTTTATGGAAGCTTTGCGGTTGTAGGGAGGCAGCCATCCTAGGGTCACGTGGGCACGAGCACTGGCGCTTCTCTTCTTTTGTTTCGTCCGTGATAGACTCTTCAGCTGCCGGTCTGCCTCGAGGCGGCTATAGCATCCTGCTTGGAGAAGAGTGTTACATCGTGGAGATCCGGTCAGACCATGGTGTCATGTACTTCATCGTCCGGGAGGGCAGAACCTCGGTCATGCCAGCATCACACTTTTCCTGCTGTTCTATTGTAGTCCTGCAAGCCTGGAAGATCGTTGCAGGTAAGACGTGAACCCGAAACTGCCAAATCCGAGGTATGTTCCGACTCTCGAACAGCATTCCTCGTCAAGTTTGCGAGATTCACGTGCGCAACATGATCTTCCGCGCCCACCCTGGCGAAGCTTGTTTCTTCGCTTGGCTGGACCCCTGATGCAGGGATTCTCAATGGCAGCTGTTGCAGGATGCAGTTGGATAGACTTGTCCCCGCGTGACCGGAATCATTCTGGGCTCCATGACGTAGATGCAAACGCTCATGCTCACGATTGGACAAGTATGCTGGAGCACCGTAAGTCTTCAGTACAATGACAGTTTATATTCCCCTGTATGTTCAACAGCCATATGCCAGAAGTCTCACCCCCAGCCGTGAGAATCGAGGGAGCCGACCTGGTCTAGACAGCCTTCAACCGCTTGCAGGATCCCTTTGATAAGGACAAGGAGCTCGAAGTGGCATCCTCAGTTCACGGCAGTCTTGGGCCTTCACTTCGTTTATTGGCTACATGCAGGTAGCCTCAGGTACCTTTAAGCCTGTAAGCCTAAGGTAGGGATTTATCGGTTGAGGCCGCCCGTTCGTAGTTGAACGCTTCTCGGACATCGAACTTACTGCGACTCGTTGCATACCCTTCCAGCTGCTGTGGCGGAGTGCCCTGGTGTCGGCGAACACAGTCAGTGTTTGGCACGCTTTGCGAGATGGTGATCGTTTACAAGACTTGTGCATGGGAAGTCTGGTTCGTTCACGGCATCACTCCGGAAGGTCGCGGGTCCAACTGCCATAGTTGTGACACCAAGTCTCAGAATCTCGCGAGACTCACTTGAGGTGGAACTGGTTATCGGGGACGATGACTTCAAGGTGCGGCGACCGGCTCCTTCAACATGAGTCCAGCCACTCAAAAAGCTTTCGTGAATCACGGGCGTGCGCCCGATCAAATCAATCTATCTTTTCCAACCGAGACCTGCTCGGAAATACCAGAGGCTGCATTTGTGTGCCATTATATATATTATCACAAAATCCAAGCTGTGCCTTGATTGTCGTCCACTTTTTCAAGGCCTAAGGCGAAGTGGACAGAACCTGCCAGGATTTAACCCCTCATTGTTCAGTGGTACTTGGCAAAAGTTTCGAAGAGATTGCAACAGGTCTGTTTGTTGCACGTGCAAAGTCGAAGGATCTCGGGCATTGACGCTCTTTTTCCTGCCCTGTTGAAGCGCACAGTTGCATCACAAGGCATCTCTAGGCCCGATCAAGATCCCGTCCAGCTTCGGAGAGAGCCTTGATGTACAACGCGACTAGCAAGCAGGATGCGATGGCAGAGGGTGCTAACACCACGAGGCAGAAACGATGACAACTGGACAAAAAATACTTCGAACAGCATGCAAAGGCAACCCACAGTGGCAGCAGTGGAAAGTAGCACCGTGCATCTGCCATACACTCTCGAAGCCCTACGCATCAGGGTTCTTTTTCAGGTGGATCCTCGAACAGCTTACCGAAAGAAGCTTCGTGGTGGCCTGGAACTTTACAGCCGCTCGGAGACTTAAATTTGCTGGTCGTGGTCGAATTCGAAGTCGCAGTTGTCGTCGCAGCCGTAATCTTAGTGGTGGCCGGGTAGTAGTAGTGGTAGTGGTGTGGCCTTGGTCGTGACCGTGGTCGTGGTAGTGGCAGTAACAAAGACGGGAGCAGAAGGACGAGGAGTAGTAAGTAGTAGTCATCGTCATGGCATGACAAAAGATACAGTAGCAGCAGCAGCATCAGAATGTCAGGCCAACTGTGGGAGTTTGAAGGCTGCTTGTGCTTTCCGATTTTTTATGATTGGCTCTGCAGCTGTGCCAGCGGATAGCCGCAGACCACAGGCACTTTCGACAAGGACCACACGAACTTGGAAGTGAGGATGCGGAGCGAGACGTGCCTCGGTTCTTGAATAGAAGTGCCACAGCACAAGCCTGATCCGGATAATCTTTTCCACTATAGAATATGATCTAGAGTCTAGATTCTCTTCAGTCCTTCACGGACGGCCTGAGCCAATGCCTCAAACGAGATCGGAAGAATATCCAGGCTTCAGAAAATAGAGATGCCTTCAATCATCTAGCACGTGCCTTGCCGACCACCCACGCTGAACACCGCAAGGGAGAGTACGGCGAAAACTGTGCTGGATGTGATCCTGCCGCGGATTGGCATGTCATTGGTCGGCCGCGTGCAGAGCAGGCTTGAACTACGAACATTTTCTCGAAGATGTTTCAGGTTTGTGCCATGCAGCTGTGGTCTTGCCGTACCATACTATGTGTCAACACACTTGGTGTGCTCCGCATTCGCGTTTTCTTTCGGAGGAGGTTTCGTCTTACCATGTATGGCTTGAGGCTTGACTGTGCTCGGCAGGGTTGAAGGCCAACAGAGCTCTGAGGACGAGGGTTAACTTAGGTCCCACAATTTGTGTTCTCGAACTCTGTCATGTCTGACTTCGAAACACCAAAAGAGAGCGACTTCTGCTCCTTTTTTTGCCGCGTCACCTTTACGGTTGCTTCATGGCAAAAAAGGAGGCTCAAATGCTGGATTCTGCCACTAGAGGCATATGTCTAGTGGTGACGATGTAACGCATTGCCTCATTGAATTGTGTTCAGGTATCGAGCCAGCTTGTGACAGGAGATAACCTGCAGCCGCAAGCGAGACTAACGGCCTTTGAGCTCTGGGGGCTAACTAGCCCTCCAAGCCTTCTCGAATGGCAGCGTTGAGTGCATTCTGAGTGGTATTGAACCAAAACATTCTAGAACAAATTTCTAGCTTGGAGCGAGAGCTACCTTTTTTAGCGAGATATCTTGCGATAAAATTTTGTATATTTCGAGAGATTGAATAATGCTTATTCACCTATGTATCTATATATATCTATCTATTTATCTATCTATCTATCTATCTATTTATCTATCTATCTATGTATATATATATATATGTATATCTATATATCTATATATATATATCTATATATATATTATTTTTCGTATCATTTACTCATTGATTAGCCACCCTCCGGGAGAATATTGACGCACGGGAGATTATCTATTTTGGCAATGCATAGAAGGATTGCCAGCTTCTGTCCCCAACCAGCGGCAATATCAATCTAGTAGACATATATGATGTCCATGGAGCAAATAAATGGAAAGAACCTTCAAATAATTGTTATAAACCCCCCGGCTGGCTGCGAACTGCTGCTACGGAAAGTATGACCCACTTCCTTGCAGGGTCACGTGTGCTGAGCTGGTCTACATGGAAATGGCGCTACTGCACCTCGAATCAGAGGGCCTTTCTCAACAAGCGTTTGTCTGGATACCTTGTCCTTCCGCAGGGGGTGAGATCTTACATCTGAGAGTAATGCCAAACTAAATGCTTCTTTCACGCTCTGTGGCGGAGACTGGTCAGCAGAACGGCGAATGGGTTTCGACATGCAGGGCATTGCTTGGCTGCAACAGGAATACGTGATAAGTTGGTCAGGGCGGGTTGCTGGGAGGCAGTGGAACCTTTTAATTATGGGAAACGTTTACCCCAGACGCCTCTCGTTGCACGCCGGCATGTTCGTGACTTGCAAGGTCCATCTCAGCTGTCATGAATCCAAAGGAGGACACGCAGACCCTAAACATCTCGCTTGGTGACGTGCGACTTGGCTTGCTATGGTCTTCCAATCTGTGTGCTCTCGACCCATTCGTTTCACTTGCCGAGACAATCGCTAGGACCGAAAGTCGCAGCAGCATGGTCAGCCTTCCAAACAGCCACTGTTCTCGGCATAAGTATGAGATGTACTATCATAAGAGATAAGAACACTATACTTGCAAGGCTAGTCGTGCCTTTCACGAGCGTGGTACCTAATGCCATATCATTGTTGTTGTCATTGTCACCCATACCTTTTTTGGGGTTTTATCGCTTGTCTTGACTCTCTCAGTACTTGGTTGTTGTTGCTTGTCCTGCTCCGAGGCAGGTGGATTACCAGATGCCCGAGGACAAGGACACAGGGACCCGAGGGCTGAAGTTATGAGAGAAAGCAAGGTATCTTCAGGGTTTAGCTGCCTAGCTCCGAGTCCTGTTCTTGCAAGGACCAGCATGCTGTGATCCTTGGCAACGCAGGGGTCTCGGGCCATCACCTCGCCACCTGGCATAATTACTCAGGTCACGCAAAACGCCCACTCGAGACGCTCAAAGCAGCTTGCTCACATGTCTGCCTTGTTGGGGGCGCGGCACCGTTGTCCTGTAATTACGTAATGTTCGGGACGTCGTAGGTAGTGTCTGTAGCATTGAAACCACCACCACTACTGGTACTACCTCCACCACGACCACGACTACTACTCCTGCAGCTACTGCTTCTACTGTACGCCTGCTGCTGCTTCTGCTGCTACTTCTGCAGCTACTACTACTACTACTACTACTACTACTACTGCAACTACTGCTGCTGCTGCTGCTGCTGCTGCTGCTGCTAACACCACACTACTACGACTGCTACGATATGACGACGACGGCTACTCCTGCTGCTGCTGCCGCTGCTGCTGCTGCTGCTACTGCTACCGCTGCTACTGCTACCGCTGCTGCTACTACAACGGCCACTATCCCTACCACCTGCTGCTACTCCTACTGCTCGACTTCAGCCCGGAGCAGTTGCAACTCATGTTTCAGCGTGGCCAGATTTCAATTCAAAGGAACATTCCGGCACGGGAGACTTGACATTATACGGGGTCCAGCGCTGAGGTCCGGCCCGTGCTACAACTACATGTGGAACGCGGCCAGAGTTCTTCCTCCGACATACACCTGTCCCTTTGCTGGTTTATGAGGTATATAGTGGAGAACCGAATGAGAACATGCAGTGGGGAGTCGGCGTTCCGGGTTGAGCAGGACCGACAGAAATCGTGATCTCTGGCACTGGGTCCACGAGTCTTTGCATTTGCCTTATAACGTTGCTGCAGCATGTTTCCGGACGGTGCTTGTGCATTTGGCGTAGAGATTTCACCCAGCGAGTTAGCTTCTTGTTTTGGGTCGTCCCATGCAGCGTCATGTGTTTGTAGATCGCCGGGTCCCATCAGCGTCTTTGTTTGGCAGGTGCAAACTCGTGGCACGTCTCGATCATCTGGAGGTGGTGCTATTGGGGGAGGGTTTTCCGGGCTTTGGCTGAGAAGATGGCATGAAGAGTCTTTGGTGAAAAAGTGTTGACAATGAGGGCCACAGCTTCGAGTCGCGATGCTAAAGGATGCCGGCTATGAGCGAACAACTGTAGCAGCAACCAGGTCAATCAGCTACATTAAATAGATTTGCCGAGTTTACTCCTGAACCTGTCGTAATCAATTCTGGTAATGCGAAGAAGCCAACGACCAACGTTTATCAGCCCTGGGACTTGAAGCCTTGCGTAGATTCGAAAAGATGCAGCGCCCCCAAAATGCCGAGAGGAAACTCTGAGTCTGCTGCCTTGTCACTTCGCCTCAGATTTTCAAGCTGAGAGCTTCCCAGCTCGGCCTTCCGAGCTGAGCCGGACCATCTCCCTAGTTCTGTAGGTCTGTGGGTGTGACAGACAGCCAGATAGATATATGCCACATGCACATTAGCGCAGGGCACCATGCTCGCATGCCTGTCTGTCTGCCGGGCGTACACACCATCCGAAGTGTTTAGGTTTCACATTCACGCATGCCTGGAGGTTTAGCATGTTGCACATACCTGTTTTGTCTTTTTGCATTATGCCGGCTACATGCTGATTCTTGAGATCTTCAAGCCGGTCGTTTTGTTTGCAACGCAGATGACGATCATCATGGTCATGGGGGGAACATAATGCCGGTATTGATGGTGCTGACCCTTGTGCTGAAGTGATGGTTTTGTCATGAATATGTTTGTCTTCGAGGTGATGGTCAGGTTCCAGGAAGCTGCTTGGATGTGGATGATCGCTCTTTTGGCGGGCCTCCACAGGTCTCTGTCAGCGATTCGCTCATCACGGCCATGAGTGACTTCATGGACCCTCGTCAACCCGAAAGGTTCAGAGCCCGGAGGTCTTCTGGGTTCTAAAGTTCAGGGCAGGTTTGGGAGCCGGGGGCGTTTGCAAGCAGCAGCTTTCATGTATGTCCACTGTCCGACTTGGGCGATCAGGACCGCCAGGGCCGCTAGGGCTACCAAGAACACAGGGCAACCAGAGCAGACTGACGCGTACCTTCATACCCAATAGGGGGAGGCGTAGATGCTTACACATAGTGTTTGCATGCCAACGTCAGTGTACATGGTGTGCCTGTTCAGGCGCGTGGCTATTGCCATGTGTACATAAAACATATGTGTACGTAGTTATGTACCAATTTGCTGAGTGGCTTTGTAAACTTAAGTACACGGCAAGCCTATATGCGCAAGTGCACAAATCTGCGCATGTATGTGTACATGTATGTGTATATATACATATATATATATACAGAAATACTTACACAAACACAAGCTTGCTTGGTCACATGCTGACAGACACATAGTTCCGAGCATGCGCACACAGCATGTGCAGGTCTATGTAGCATGCATGCTGCAAATGGATGTAGATGTATGCGTGTATGTCAGAAGCATGCTCAGTTGCAAGGGAGTTTATGACTAGAGACGCAAAACGATCGGCAGCCACATGTGGGTTGCAGCGGCTTGGCTACAGTGAAGTCTCGATTCAGATCGCGTCAGCGCATAAGCCCGGATGTGTTGTGGTTGACCCGTACAAGGAGCGCTTGCAGCCCAGCATCACCAGCATGACTGCGGCGCCTTTGCTTCATGTCCAGGGTAAACTTTAATGACCGCGACAGTATCCACGATGAGAGTAGCAACATCGTTTATTGGTGCAGTACGGGCAGGGGAGAAACCATCCATCAGTCGGACGAAGCAAGGGGTAAAAACTAGGCTTTGATCGAATCATGGTAGCACAAAGAAGAGCGAACACTTGACAAGAGAAATCACTCACAGTGTGGGAACAGTTGGGAACCAAGAAAGCCTAGTAGCAGCAGCGGTTTACACAGCATGTGCGAGGGTCAGTGAACGTTTTGTGCCAACGCAGCAAGTTGCAAGGCCGGCTTCGAGAGAAAACATGTCGCAGCTGTACGGGAGAAGGCAGGGAGGTTTGAAGATCATTCCCAATAGTCCTCGGTTGGCAGTAACCCGGGCATCGGCGGAAGGACTTCCGCCACATAGCCATGGAGTCACCACGCATTCTGTTCCAGAGGGGGAGGTAGGCATCGTCCAACTGCTCCGCTGTGTTGCAGTGTGATCTTCGGGAGGCAGCCATTGTGTTCGAAGGAAAGGATCCTGCACAAATTCCAAGAGACTCTTGCCTTGCATTGGTGGGGAATTGACCCTTTTGACAGCGTGGAAGCTGCGGTTTTAATTCTATGAAATAGGTAAGCTGGTATGGTGTCACGCAGATCGACTCCCAGATTAGACATCCTACAGCATGCAGAAACTGCATTGCTCGATGCGGCTTGGATGTTCTGAGTCAAGGCATAGGAACAGCGGGCATGGCTTCACTATCCCCCGCAGTAATGGCTTGTGCTTAATCGCCCCAATTCAGCCTGCAAAGCATTGCTGTCTTTCGCCCCCCGTGGCAGCTCGAGTTGCAAGCCTGGATTCGAAAATCATGAGCGGCCCTACGGTACGGATGGAACCTCACAGGGGTGTAATGCTGATCTACACTGCTGCACACCGAAGGATGGCGTGGGTCTGAGTGAGCTACTTACCCTATCACCCGAGCTACAGCCACTACTGGGCATTCTATGGGGTTTCATGGAGTAGGTTCCCAGTAATCCGGCATCATGTATACAGCCCCATTAACTATGGGCCTTAAATGACTAGGGAAGCATCTCCTTCTGGCTTTATTCGTTGTTTTGGCAGTACTCGCAGATCACTCGTAGCAATGATGCTCTATTTGTTAACCCTGTGTTAGGGGCCTGCGCGCTAGTCACCAAGTTGTTGCCGCAGCCAGGACACCATTATACAGATTGACCAGCTGCCACTTGCTCAACATGTGAAAGGCGTTGCTTTCCGCTGCCCTCGTGAGCGTCACCATGGCTCAAGGGACTGTTCCAGCACCTTCTTGTTTCTGCAGCACATCCGAGGTTCATTGCAGAAGTGCAGCTCCTCAGCTGCCTGATGCACGACTCCTCCCGGGCTTGATTTCGGTGCCAAGTCGGGGCTCAAGGAAATCAACGCAGTACACACGAAGCCTCAACGTCGTTCACGCTGCTTGCTATTCCAAGACAAGCAGGAAAGATCAGATTCTGACATCTTACACCCTTTGCCCTCAAGTTTCACTGGTCGTGCAAGTGTCCTTGCTTCTGTTTCGTCCTTTTGCAGCGTTTCCTTAAGCACACTTGCAGCTCTCTGCGCAGCACCCTGTCTGTTACGACGTCCGAAGCTTTGCAACGTCTCGAGGTTTCCACTCATACCGGCAGAATGCGGCAGGGCAACAGCCGTCACTTTGACAACCAAGGATGAAAATGTGGGTCTCTGTGAGACTGAAACGACTCCGGAATTATCTTCCGAGCTGGGTTCGAGCGGTCATAGGCCGGACAGCCAATGGAGGGGCTCAGCCGCTGCTTGTGTCGTTTCTTTGGAATCTCGACAAACCTTTGCAGTCCGCATGCTACTTCCTAGGCTAGCTGTGACAGGCGTGCTTCAGGACTTGAGTATTGAGTCTGCAGGTACCTTGATGTAAACAGCACCAAGTCCAGACTTAGCAGAAGAGGCAGTCTCTCGCTGTCCAAGAGCTTCTCCATGGAGGGGGCCAATGTATCGTTGCTCCTGGCCAGCACAGAGACTGTCTGCTTCGTGATGCTGTCTTTTCGATCTGATGTGCCTCGGCATCCTGCAGACACCAAACTCAGCACACTGACATCTGGCATGATCAGCAGATTGCCTTCGAGCAGTCTTGTGACGAACGTTGAAAGCTAGTTCGGCAGCTGTTGCTCAAGTGCCAAAGCGACAGAAACGATGTGATCGATGTCGCTTGTTGAGATCACGGATTCCGTGCAACATGTCCTGGCACGTGGAAGTGACATAACGGAGCTTGTTGTCCCAAATCCCCTGGCGCCAGAATCACCGCCACTCAGCGCAACATTCATGCAAGTCGACTTAGTCAGTGACACGTGCAACCATTCGTTGCCCCTAGCTGCAGATGATTGCATGAAAGATTGGGCGAGATGTGGTTCTCTCGTGTCTCTATGCATGTATGTACGCACGTATGAATGTACGTATGCATGTATGTATGTATGTATGTACGCCTGCATGGATGTATGTATGCACGTATGTTTTCTGGACGTTTGCTCGTGCCAGCTTGCATTGCTCCTGCCAGCTTGCATAGCTGGCCTTATCGGCTTTAGCACTCCTTCCACACTGCAGGTCGTCGAAGTTTCTGGAGGGCCTCCGTGGCAAGCCGGGGGATCTGGCATCAAGCTTTGCGCACGAGTGGATGGGCAACATGATCCGAGCAGTCTGCTCTGCGCTAGGCCGGGTCATTCTGGCTTGGGGGTGTTCCTGGATGCAGGTGGGTGACTACTAGAGGCTCATGCAGTTCAAAGCTCTCTGACACGGTGGATTGAAAGTCCCAAAGGCAGGCTCCAGCTGCTTGTCCCACCTGTTTCAGGCCATTCATCTCTGATGGCAATTCCCAAAGCGCCGATTGCACTCATGGGGTCTGCTGGGAATCTTGCTTCGAGCAAACTCGGAGGATGCTCAGCTATCATTACAAAGGGAGCTGTTGCCGTTTTGTCTGAATGCTGCTGGTCTGGATGTACCCAGGTGCCATGAATAACACCGGTGCATTCTTTGACAGCATGACCTTTGACGATGATTATGCGTCGCGCCACAACAGGCATCGGCAGGCAGAGATCGAAGGCCGGTTCCAAGACAGGGTGCTGTCGCAGAGGGCGGGGAGAGGAATTGAGGGTTTGGGTGCATCAGGTAGAGTTAGATACTTTAGCTCGACACCGTCTGCTGCAGAAAACTAATAGTCAGCCATCGAACTGGGTACCAACCCTGAAGTTCCGCGAGGCGCCAGCCAGGGAATGGCTTCCGCCGTGAACAGTCTCGGAGAAGGCCTCAGTGGCCTCTTGGACATCTTCCGGCGCCTTGGTTTATTGGTGCCCGTAAGCAGAGGCAGAAGCGTTCTCAACTGGGCAGGCCCGTCCGTAAGGGCTTCATGTGGGTCACTTTACAGGTTGATTGCCACCACTACATCATGCCAGTAATGCTGCTAGCGAGGCAATCAATCCCGATGTGTGATGCCATCCCAAAGAGCCGGCTGTGGCACATTGCCGAGCTGGTTCACCCTAATGATTTGCACCTTCTGAGGAAGCCACTCGAGGGCGCCAGAAACCACGGCGTTGGCGGCTTCGTCACAGGAATCGGGAAGGCATCGGCAGCTGGCTTGATTTTTGGCAGACTCACCTCTGGGGCTTGTTTGGAGAAAGACGCAACTGTCTCGCGTACGGACTTCAACATACCCGGCAGCCAGGGATTGACAAGCTCTGTGATCAAGAGCGTCAATGGTGTGGCAGCTGCCTGGCTCGATTATGTTGTTGGTTGGTGACTACATGTGATTATGATTCTGGCTAATTATAGCATGAGAGAGATGGGACAGAGCACCACCGTCCGCGGACATTGTTTCTGGGCTTGTGGACGGAACGGGGCGTGCTTCCTTTGCGGCAGATGACAAGATGTGATCAGATGGACATGCTGACCGGGTGAGAGGCTTTGTGCTGAGTTCGGGATTGTTCGCATGCAATGGTTTCTGGTGAAGGACTCATCCCATAGCCTCATCACCCATTCCGACACTGACTCCCAAACCTTTCGAGTAGAAGCCTCATGACGAACGAGGACGCAGCAGCCGACCTGGGCCGTGGGGTGATGGCGGAGGCCGGACTATGTCTCTTGCTCATCATATATATGACCCGATCTTCATATCCATTTCGCGTAAATTGCGTTGAGGTTCTTGCCACTTCAGCCCTAGCAACCTTAGCAGCCTTAGCATTGATAGCAGCCCAGCCAGTGACCACCAGCAAGCAAACTCGGATCTTTGCGCCGGGCCTTGCTTCGAAGAACAGCACGTGCAGGCCAGTGTCAGAGATGGACGAAGAGGGAGGCCTACAACAGAGGAAGAGCAGAGAGAACCGGGGCCCGTGCAAGGGTGGGCGACCTTCTCCACTGGAACAAGGGCACATCGATGGCGCAAGGAAGGAGCGAAGAATAAACACAGCCAGCCAAGATGCACGTCTGCGCTCGCAGAGACACGTAAACATGCAGTCATTTTATCTTACCATTTGCCCACATCTTCATGAGCACATCGTGCTGCACTTTTGTACCCAAATCAGTGAGCACTGGATGAAGTGCTTGTAGTGTTCTATTCGCACGCCCCACTGAATGCGCCAGGCTAGCAAGAAGATCAAGCCCCAACACGGCACTACGCTGCGAGTGCGCCACCCTCGCGCCCTTTACGGCCCGATTGGTGCAATCATGGACTTCTCAGATCCTCGCCGGCACATTGAAGCTTCACAGTGTTATTGGGATTTCGGTTGTTGCTCCTGTTATTGCGTTCAGTCCTCTCAAGCTCTGCTATCGTATCCATGGCCTCCTCAAGACTCCGAGGTCAGGCATGACAAACTTTTCAGGCGTTGCAAATTTAGGGTTTCATGATAGTCTGCACCTCAGCGAGTTGATGCAAGTTGTGCTGCAGGAGCTAGACAGCCACGTTATGGCGCACCTACAAAAGTCCGGCGAAATCAGCATCTCGGATAGATGTGATGGCTGCACCAGGCTCACTGGAGTATACTTTGCATGTCCTGGAGAACGTAAGCCTGGTAAGCGCTTGCTTACGTACTGTAGCAGATTCGACTCCAAGTGCAGCTCGGGCTCGGCGCTCTCAGGCGAACCTGTGGAGGCCATTGTCCCGCTCTTCAGGCGTCCTGGCAGCTCTATGCCAGTTCCATCCGGCTCCTCAGCATTTTTTCTAAGTACACCGCTGAAGCCGTCCCGAGGGAGAGTTCGTGAATAAGTGCAGTGAGATTGGTGGTGTTGATGGGAGCTCCATCTGCTGCATAGCCGGGTGAGTCGCAATACGAGGAAAACGAGGACATCCATGATAAAGTTTGATAAAGAACAGGCCAATGACAGGACACTGACAGTGAAGAGGATGCAACTGAATGAACAGGAGGGACCAAGACAAGGTTGGGCATGAACTGGAGGATTAAGTAGATGATGGACAGGAAAATTAAGCATGACATTGGCGAGGATCATGAACATGAGGAGGACGAGGATAGTGAAGACGAAGAAGTCGTTGAAGGCTACTAAGATTGGGTAATGCAAACGTCGTATACAGATGATGAGGGTTCGGTGATGGAGTTGATGATGATGATGATGATGGATTTCGGCGACACAGAGTGACTTATGCCTGACGTCGTCGGACGTTTCGGAGATGCTGCGCATGTCAACTTCACCTTCTGTCACTGACCGCAATATGAATGTTCCTCTCGTCAACAGCCACTTCACTAGCAACCCAGGAGGGGCAGTCGCACTGACAGTCGCAGAAGTTGTGCGAGCGGTGGTGATGTTGCTGGTGCTGCTCGTGGTGGTGGTGCTTGTGGTGGTAGTAGTGGTAGGAGTAGGAGGAGCGTAGCAATGGCACCAGCAGTGGCAGCAATGGGAGATGGGTATAACAATAGTTTCAGGAGTCAGAGTCGTAGGGTTAGAAGCTGTAGCAGCGGTAACGTTGGTAGCAGCTGTAGTCGCACTGCAGTAGTTGGTGGTGGACGCAGCAAGAGTATTCTACTACAGGAATTGCTTCTAGGGAGCCAGAAGCTGCTGCATGTTCAGTCTTTCCAGTCGGAGCAGGTGGCAGCCGCAACAATTGCAAGAGGAGGACTCCAGCGAGGAGGAGGAGAGACCAGCTCCGGTCGAGAGTGTCGAGGCGATTTCGGGTGTGTTGCATTTGTTTTGGGATCGCGGGCACACTGAGCTTTATGGTTTGGGACGTTCAATGCAAGTGTCGGGATCGATAGCTTGAGTGCAGTTGAAATGGCGAGGGCCCGGCTTGGAGGCCGCTGTCTGCCCCGAGCATGGGTTAACGATTAATAATTAAGAAATAAGTCATCGTCGTCCTGGATCACAATTCAGTTTCGTGAGGATTCGGCTGGCTATTGTCCACCGCGGGATCATTTCTGCCAACGGACTTCGCAGTGCGGTTTGTAGCACTATCAGGAGGGTGCAGGCCTTGGGGCTGAACGGGCCGAAATGAACTATCTGGCAAGGGCGCCCTGACTGTCTGTCTGGATATCGAATCAGGAAAGAGTCAAGAGCCGCTTAGAAATCTCTTTGGGCCCGCACCCCGCAAGTTTCGGGCCGTCGTCAGCTTTACTTGGCAGCCTCAAGCTTCATACACCGTGAGCCTCCTCTCCTCTTTCAGGTCATGGTCCTGGCACGGAAGTCCTTTTGGATCGCTGAAGTGCCTCTTACGAGGCTGCGGAGTTTTTCTAGTATTGTACTTGTAGCCAGTGAGACTCTTGGATGTTCCAGCAGGCCATATTTAAAACACAGGATCGCATGAAATGCTACGAGATGTGCATGTAGTGCGCGGCTCTGCTACAGGGGAATGCACCGGTCGGTGTATGAGGTCCAAGCATCGTCGGCAAATCGACTTGTTGTCGGTCTGATAAGCCGGAGCCAAAGGAATTGACGGCTGTGGTGGTAGCTGTGGTGACTACCAGAGCACTGAAGAACTGCGGCAATGGAGGGACACTAGCCGGTTTGCTGCTGAAAGCAATGAAGAATATCACATTGCACTGCCAGTCACTACAGACGAGGATTCGATAACACGCCCACCCTGCATCGGTTGTCAGGATTACTCCGGTGCGGTCCTTCTATCCAGATGCTGGGCGCAGTTATGGTCGGCCAGATGAGGCCTGTCGGAGAAATCTGCTCAAGTTCTTCCCCCGCTTTGGAAATCGATGACTCTGGAATCATAAGTCATGTTGTCTTGGCTATGATTTTTGTGACGCTGTAGCAGCCATGGCAGGTGAAAAGCTTGTTGGTGTCACGCCTCGTGCCTCTGGCCCGGGTACAGCCCGACCCAAATGCTGGCAGTTTCCAGCCACATGGCTGGGACTTTCCGAAAATTAGGGGTACCTTATTTTGGGGGTCCTTATAATAAGGATCCTACTATTTAGGGTACTACATTGGGGTCCCCAGTGTTTGGAAACCTCCATCTGCTTCACATCTGGAGGCTCCGCCTCTGGCGCACGAAGTCTAGTTGAGTGTTAAGGTTTCAAAGTTAAAGATTGGTCTGTTTCGACTTTCAAACCTCTCGCATTCTCAAATTGCTGCTTCGTCTGAGCACTCATGTTTTTTTTTTTTAACCTCTGCAGTTTGCCAAAGTCCAAACATGAAGCGGTCAACGATCCAGTTTACCCTAAGTCCTAAGACTGAGAGCACGATAGTTTTCGACCAATCTTCGCACTGATGTAGGCCATCCATGGCATGGGAATTTCAATGTTGTTTTCCTCGCAGTAGCGATCCAGGCTCCTGTGCATGCTGGAGACAGTACTGTAACACCGAGCAGGCGTTTCGGCGCATGGGTTGAGAACTGTAGCCCAGCTGCGTTTGTATCTGCAATCCAAGGATCCACAAGCAGTTCCCGATTTCTGCGCTGAAATCTGTAAAGTGGGCACAGCGGCAGAATGGGGCCCGTCCGGATCTGCTGCTGGAGTGCATGTCGCACCGGGGTTGCAAGAAACTGCTTGCACACACCTCTTTCGTTGCTGTCTGCTGCTTTGCTTGCACTCCTGTGCGGAATGCAAGGCAAGTTTATTCCATCAAGATGCCGTGGACTTTGGGCAGCGAGCTCCCGAAAACCATCCTCAAAGCCTTGGCGGATGCCATCCATGTTGGGAAAATTCAGGCTCGGCGGAATGAGTCGCCATTACCATGTACAGTATATGGAAACACTCTCAATGTTCCGCAAGCATGTGCATCGAAGCTGACACTCACTTTCTGCATGGGACATTTAGTACGGCTTTCCGACAGTGCATGCTTCAGCTTGACACCAGTGTCGCGCAGGAATGTTGTTTCTCTGATGGCCTTCCACATTGATTCATACCTAGACGCACCAGTGCTTTCAACAAATGACGCGGGCCCAGTTTTATGCATCAGTCAGATAAGCGTCCAATTGACCAGGTTGAAGAAATTTCCGATGTTCAAACGGAGCTGCTTGGCGGGTACAACACCATGAGGCATCTTTGCGGCAGGGTCACACCAGGATGCACCGACGGCAGTGCCCGTCTCTGTCCAGTCGTGTCTGTGGGCCGTGGGACACCTTAATTAGCGAACCGAATGCTTTGATTTCTTGGGATTGTGCTCCAAACCTTTTTGAGATGTCCAGTGTTTGTAGCAAGGGCTTCTGAAGCGCCATTGTCCTGACGAATTAGCCTTCGCTTGGATTCATTGGATGAAGCCTGCTCGAATTTCTGCAACTTTTTCTTGGCAGACTTTTTCACAAAGCGGAGCCGTTGCTGCTCAGCTCGGAGAACCTCCCCCTGCAAGCTGCCAAGGGTTTGATGCATCTGAAACCGACCAAGAAAGGTTTCACACGATCGCATGGTAAGAATACTGGCTGCTTCACCGGATGCTGTAATTACATGGTAGCTGTGAGTACTACAACTCCTACTCTGTGTGTGTGTGTGAATACCCTGCACCCTTTCACGATCCACCGATGCTCTTGGTCCTAGAAAGCTCGTCAGCGAGCCAAAGAACGTGCTCAGCACGGTGCACCTCAGCTGGTGCCCTGATGTGATACTTGCTTTAGCACTGCACTCGCTCACCGAGGGTTCGCCACGGCTTCATGGGCGACGAGCTGTCCAATCCAGTGCAGGTCTGCCCTATGAGAGAAGTCGCATCGGCACAAGTCTTCGTCATGAGCTCGTGGCCCGGAGTTTGGTAATGATTGTGGCAACAGCAGGTGATGTTTGCGCTGCTTTGTTGCTGTCAGCTTCGACTTAAGCTGCTCGTGCTATCTCGTGCTCTTTGCGGTCATAGTCATGCTTTTCCTTCCGGAGTTTTGTTCTAGCGGTCGTAGCATAGCAACTCCTTCATGTGGAGCTCTAAATATGGCACGAGAATGCCAGACAAATTGGTGTAAACGAGCCTCAACAATGCGAAATACAGATGCAGATAGCACGACAAGTGTGCATTCAAGACCGACTGCGCAAGGAACAGTGCAACTCTAAGGCAGCCGTAATAACGAGTCACTGAGGCTGCCAGCGAAGTAAGTCTGGTTTCCAAGTCTGCCAACTTGACATTGTTCCTCAAACTTCACTCTTGGGCTTCTTACATATTCTTATGGGTTGATTTGCAGCACTGTCGACTCGAACATTGGAAGTGGTGTTGTCGTTCGGACACGTTTGCACACCCAAGAATACATAGTAGGAGTCAGGCACGCACAAAGACGGGGACAGCTAGGCGTTACATTGCTGTCGCTGTTCTGCTGACGGCTAACATCTGATGGTGACAGGTTTGCAAAGTCCTCCCCCCCACCCTGCGAACTACTCAATGGATAATTCAACCATAGGCATGTTGGCGCCTCGCTGCACCTTGAGAAGTCGTGCCCTGCTGCTTTCCGAGAAAGTGCAGTGCAACCCGACATGCCAATGACAGGTGACAGAAGAGGCATGGGAAGTCGAGCGTGCAGCTGTCGCTGCAGGTGCCGCTTTCTTCTGCAAAATGCTTGCTCAAACTGCTCACTTTGGGCGCTCCTGGATGCCCAGTTCAAGATGAAGGGACTGCAGGGATTCGATCTCGAACCACTTCCATGAAGTGACTGCCAGGTCACAGAAAACGGTCCCTTCTTGCTGTCATGTGGTAGAGCTATGCAAGGAAGCTTCCGGGGCACAGGAGCCGGTTTCCAGGGTGGCGTAGGGTTTGGGACGGCAGCAGCCAATACCCAAAAGACAGAAGACAACGACTACCACAAACATGAGATCTTGGCTTCTCCTTGCTGAACTGATCAGCACGAGCTTGGTGTCCGCCCGCAGTCAGAACATTGAAAAGGCTAGAAATTTGGCCAGAGCGTTCTTACACTTGACACCCCTATGTGGGCGTGAATCGCGACGATCTCCTGCCAGGCACCAACAGCTCCTGGCAGATGCTTGTCTCGCACTTCTGTGCGGTGCTCACTCTCGATAGCATCAGCATCGTTTGCCCGCTTGGCGGTTAACCATTGTTGACTTAATTCTGGTTACGTCTGTGGCCGTCCTAGTTGATCGCCTTGAGCTTGATCGTCTTGAGCTTGTCACAGTTGCTTCCTGCTGGTTTGCTGCTGTACCACGAAGAGCAAGTGTCGAAAATCAGCATCTTCGCTTGCCTGCTGCGGCAGCGTGAGCTATTGTAGTTGGGATTTTGCATCGTATACAGTTCTACTTCTACACGTTATCTAGATCCCAAAGGCTTCCAGCGCATATCTGACTTGGAGATCAGGAATCTGCGAAACATATCGAGGCTTTTGTGCTCATCGACCCGTAGTTTGCTGGTCTAGTCGCAATAGAGTCGAGGGTTCACGTCTGCGGAGGAAGCCATTCCTGCCCACGGAGCCGGAGCACCAGCAATGTTGGATGGATGCAGGTGTGGGAATGTGTTTGCAGCTGTCACCGGTTGCCTAGTCTATCGTGGTGCAAAGCTTTCTGCTGAAGCCCATGATTCCGTGATGGTCTCATGTTGGAGCCTTGTCGGGCTTCGAGCACTTTGCTCCGGAGGCTTGCAAGTACGGCACCCACTTCTGGACCCCCAGCGCTTCGGAAGAAGCACAACAAAGCCGGGCCCTCCCATGAAGTCGCTGAGACTCGGCCGCTACTTATGCCGGTGTAGAGTCTTCCTCAGAGAGCACCTCCGCGTGTCATGCTCTGTCGCCATGCAAGGAGACTCTGGAGACCAAAAGGTACGTGGCAGCTAGAAGTGAACCTCGATGAGACGGACCTGCGCCTCCCGCATTTGGCTCTTTGGAGGGCTTTCATGTTGCATACCTGGTAAGCCTGACTCGCGGGCAGGTTTAGGGCCTAAGGGGATAAGTATTGAGTGCAGCTTTTCAGGTTTGGTGCGTTTGCTCCTCGTGAAACTCATCGCCTGTCCGTGTTAAACGGTGCAAACACTCTCAACACTGAGGCACTCACTTAGGCTTCTGTAGTGTGACCCTGTCCCTTTGTGGCAGACGCCCTTTGCAGGACGGCGAAGGCTGGGTGTATGCTCCGATCTGGGGTTCCACGGACTGGCAGCTCGAACCGCGCGTTTTCATCGACGTCGTCCGAAAGCGCAAGTGGACTTTGACCTACAAGCTCAATTTCCTTGCCAAGGAGACATTCTTGTGTCATGTTTGCAAATTTTATGCTCGATTGTGTATAAGGGTAACAGCAATGCGGAAGAGCCTTGTAGTCATCACTAAGCTCTGCAGTTTCCGAGCTGCACGGCTCGCGGCTCACAGAGCTCACCCTGCTTGCATAAGGCCGACTGCGGCATCCATCGGCCTGCCACCTCGTGCCCCTTCCTTGTTCAGCCAAGTGTGGTGTAGAATCACGAGAACTCTGAGGAACCTGGTAATCATCGTGCAGACGTAGCGGCGTCCGAGTGGATGAGATTGGCTTGGCTTTCACTTCCATATCGGCAGTATGTCTCAGTAAGGCCGTGAAGCAAGGTGGTACAAATGTACCAGAAGTCATGCTGCGCCACTTTTTTCACTACTTTGATCTGAGCCAAGGAACGGCATCCGTACTGGGAAGTCCGTCATCAAGGTCACCATGGTCACCCTTCAAGTCATCCAGGCAATACTCGTTACGGGGCCAGGTTCGGTGTCAAGTGAAGGGACTTCTGAAGGGATGTTACGGGTTGCGTTCTTTTGCGCATGACGTTGACTGTCAGGAAGATACAGACGTGCAGTATGTAACTTAGCGGAAAACGGTGCAAGCTTGCACGTTGGAGGGGCGGATTGTGCACCAGTGCTGGGTCACCATCCTGAGTTTACGGTTTAACATGTTGTGAAGTTACCCAGCACTGCAGTGTTCCAAGCATCCTATTGACGGACGAACATCTTGTGAAGGCCTGAGCCTGAGACACCTTCTTCGGATGCCGGCACGACAGGCAGCTTCGGTAGGGCGTGGTTGTAGGTTTGGAGAGGACCGCTTCGCAGTCCTGTCAGTGCTAGGCATGCGAACTCTTCCAGCATCTTCCGGCTGTTGTGAGTTGAGTTGGGTGCCAGAGATCGAAGCCGCCCCACAGCTGAGCGGAGGTCGTCCTCCAACCTCGCCCCCAAGTTTCAAGCAGTTCGCCGCTACCAGTAGCCGTAGCTTCAGATTCAGCTCGGCAGATGGACCGTTGCAGGCGGCGCGCGCTTGGACGGCACGCGTTTGGACCCACTGTTGCAAAGCATTTCCTCGCAGTCCAGTATGGGGAGGCGTTGACACTGCATTGGCAGGGCCGACGCTGTCAAAGGGGTCGTAGTGATGTTAGGAGAGCTCGTGGTCTTCTCCTGTGTCTGGTCCGCTTCTGGTGTCCATTGTGATTCCACTTGATTGACAGTCTCCCCAGCTTGCATACGATGCTTTTCAGTTTTCGAGTTCGTCAGCTAAGCCGATATCCCGAGCGCTTTGGAAACTAGAATAGCACAGCAAGAGTTCGGGCCTTGGGGGCGAAGCTGACTAGTCCTGAGGCCTCGCGATTCAAATCAAGGAAACCCACATGTTTGAAGAAGCTCTACCCTAACTCCGAGCCGCCTATCCTAATTTGTCGTGTGCTTAGCGGAACCAGACCTTCGAAGGCCGTCCGATGTGAGCTTGGCCGCACCTGCCCGAGCCAAAGGCACAATCTCAGCCGAGGGGTACTGACCGAGAGTGCAGGAATCTTCGGGTCAAACCTGCTCCCTGCAGGGATTAAAACTTAAAAGCCTTCCCTTTCCGTCGAGTCACCTGGAGGTGCTGTCCCGGGAGGCTCCAATGCCGAGTCGCGGCGGCAAAGCTTCTCCTCCCAACCTGGTGGGTACAGGCTTGCCTGGCCGATGTTATGGATAGAAATGTCTTTTGTCTTTTGAGGCAAAAGTGACCACACGATAACCACATGTGAGGCATCACTAGACTCCAGCCTGCAACACTAGACTCGCTGTCCTCAAGCTGCCTGTCTTGGCGGTACAGGCATAGACGAATGGCAAGCATGCATCATGAACCGGGTCCGGGTGTGGCTTGCTGCGACTACGGGCATTGTTTCGGTTGCTCAGGCTGTTTCATGTCGTGTGGTTAGTTTTTTTCCTCTCGCATGGCTGAGGATCTATGCCCACTAGCGAGGTTGAGAAAGTCCAACTGTACTAGACAGGACAACTGGGTCGGGAAGTACGAAGCAAGTTTCAACAACGAAGTTCAACGACCCAGGCTTCCTGTCATCGGACAATGTTGACTGCAGTGCTCCAGTGGTTCAGCATTCGTCGGGGTCGTCGTCAGTTTTTTCAAGCTTGAAGCGCCACCACTTTCGAAAACACGATCCACCTGTTGACGTTCTGCCCAAATGAATGATGGCGGCTTGATGTACACAGACCCGAAGTCTGTAGCCACTTATAAGGGGGTCGGTGTCTGCGCCTCTCCCGTTGAGTGATGCAATGGTCCATGGGAGGCCAGTTGATGCGAGCTTGGCTACACCTGCCAGAGCGCAAGGTGCCAACCACAGTGGGGAAGGCTTTCGGGGTTTTGGCGGGAGAACGAGGCCCTTTAGAGTGAAGCAGCGCTAGACTGGTAGAGCGGACAACAGCACATCCAGCCGCAGCTCTCGGAACTTGTGAAGGCTGTGAAGGTGATGGAAAGGCAAATTTTTTCCGAACACTAAACTAGTCTACAGGAGGGCCTTGCTTAGGTCGATGCTCTGAAGCATTTGAAAACTCAAAAGCGGTACTCCAGCTTAAAGACCCATAGCTCAAGACTGTAGTTACTGTAGTTTCGAGTATTTCTGCGACTAGTCGCACTACTCCTAGTGCTGCTACTAGTGGTACTGGTATCGGTGCTACTGCTACTGCTGCTGCTGCTGCTGCTACTACTCTGCTGCTGCTACTGCTACTGCTGCTGCTACTGCTACTACAACTGCTACTCCTGCTACTGCTGCTGCTGCTGCTACTACTACTACTACTACTACTACTATTACGACGACGACGACGACGACTACTACTACTACTGCTACTACCACCACCACCACCCACTGTGCTGCTACTAAGCCTACTACTAGTTCCACTACTGCTGCTGCTCTGCTACTGCTACGGCTACGCCTACGGCTACGCCTACGGCTACTGCTTCTACTACTGCTGCTGCTGCAGCTGCTGCTAGTGCTGCTGCTGCTGTTACTCTACTCCTGCTGCTGCTTGTGCTACAACTGCTGGTCCAGAGTGCTTTGACAGCGGAAATAATTTCCACAGCTTCGAAACTGCACATATGCTGCTTGTGGAAATTTCACAGATGCGTCGCCAGAGATGCAAGACATCTTTTGTGGTGGAGAAACACGGGAAGGGCTCTTGTGATGCCCACGTCGTACGAGGCTGGCAAAAAATACTTGATGTCGCTCGGTGCATTCATGGACTCGGAGCAAAGGCTCGTGGAGGTCCTCCAAGCTGCAGCCCCGCAGGTCCCCACTATGTTGTGCAGATCCCGGACTGGCGCAAGGGCCATTGGCAGGATGCTACTTGGCGAAAGCCTCCTCTGGACCTCGAGGAGGAGAACAGCATCACCAGGAATCACGCTGCGCCGTGGGACCAGTTCAGCCATTTCGAGGATTTCCGCAAGCACCGCCCGGACACATTGGCAGACGTTTGCCGGAGGGACGACGAAAGCGCAAACACGCTGAGGCCGAGGTGGAGGAGGAGTCCGACGTGATCATTTGAAAAACGGTCGAACGTCGGCAAGAAGGGTGAACCTGGTCACGCCCCAGAACCTGGAACCCGGACACCTGGGCTGAGTGTGATTGCTGCTAGTGATTCTGCTCGCAAACCGCCCTTCAATTGACCCTCGCAAAACAAACAGACTCAGGCTCCGCCTGGAGCGACTGATTCATCTAGCTTGCTTGCACCGTATGACTCCAAGAGTGCCAGGTACTTTGTCTAGTTTAACATGAGTCAACGATACAGTCATGTGCCCTAAGTCCTGCAAAACGAGAGGGAAAACGCAAGAACCGCGGCCTCAGGTGTTCCGCAAGCAGGCTCCAACCCCGAGTCGCGACGGCAAAGCTTCTCCTCGCAACCTGGGGGATCCATGCGTGCCTGGCCGCTGGCTCAGGGCTGTGCTTCTGGCAAGTGGTGGTGTAGCAACGTGGATTCGCTACTCGGTACTCGTAGGCATTGAACCTGTCATGGCTGCCGCAGCAGAAGTAGAAAGAGCACATGTCGATGGGCAAGATGGTGAGGTCGCATTAAGTCGAACTGAGTCGAACTGTGACTGCGGTTTCTGCTGCCTGGTTTGGTCGTCTTCTTCTTGCGGACTGTGTGTTGGTTCTGACCTTCTGATGGTGGCGGCGGTGAATGTTGTTGTCATGGTCCTCATTTCGGCTATTGCTGGTGCTTACGCGATGCTTGGAGCCTGCTAGCTGCTTGCTAGGGGGCTTCATCTGATCTCGTTCCAACTGTGTTTGTGCAGTTGGTTTCGGTTTATCAACCGATCCATGAAGCACTCGTGCGGTGGCATGATGGTGCAGTGGCCCATTTACCGGACACCGACCCGAAGTCCGTCGCCATGTAATTGCTGCAGAATCCTGCTGCGAGGCCTGCGGCAGCATCCAGTCCCGGTCCAGTTGGCTGCACAGCCGCACTTGTCGACTATGCTGTGTATGGATTTCAAGGGTCAGCAACGGTTCGCCAGACATTCGATCGCGTGTGCAGCACCAGCATTTAATTCGCCGCAGCGTTTGTCTGTATTATGTTCTGCCGCCTCGGAGTAGCGCTGTCAGCGTAGGTCCGGGAGTTACATGCTGTAAATGTTTGCCTATATCTGTGCGTACGTCTTACATACACTGTTGCACACACATACATGTACATACATGCATGCACACAGATATAAATATAAATAAATAAATAAATATATATATATATATGTAGACATTAAGATGCATCATGTAATATATGTAGCATATAGACGTGTACACATATGGGCTAATGTATGTGTATGCATGCACACATATAGCATTGGAATATGTATAGATACACACATCCACATATGTATATGTGTATATATATATATACATATACATATGTATACATACACATGTACACATACACACTTACACACAGGTTCATGCATACCTGCATGCACACACACACACACACGTGCAAAGTTACGTGCGTACACACGTACGACCTATACCTATATTATATTTACGTGTACATACATACATACATACATACGTACATACATACATACATACATACATACATCTGTACATACACACACACACACACGGAGGGGCACCTGCCGCGCTGCGTGCGTGCACGTATGCAGGCATAACACATATAATATACATGCACGGCACAGAGAGAGAGAGAGAGAGAGTTGCTTACCTGCCAATGTTGTTGCTTTACTGGACCTTGCCTCTGTTGCTGGGGCTGTATGACTAAGCAATCTGTTGCCGCTCTTGTCACTCCTAATAAGGGGGTTCGCTGACGCGCAAGGGGGGAGGGCAACGAAAGAACGAGACACAGAAACAAGCATGCGAACATGCATACACAGATGCAGAGTTACATACATGCATACATACATACCCACGCACATACTACCTACCGGCCGACTGACCGACTCACCGACCGACCGCGGACCGTGGACCTACCTACCACCCACCCGCCCACCCACCCACCTACTTATCTACCGGCCTACTGGGCCGACCTACCGGCCTACCGACCTATCTACATGCACACATACACGTTTTCACTACACATACACACATACGCTCATCCCTGTGTTCATTTCCTGAAAGATACCAATGAATGGTATATCCTGCGAGCCGGTGATAATGCCACTTGGAAATTCCACAATGCAGGAAAGCGGCATGGCCTGCAATCATGACAAGCAGGCCCTGTCCGTCCGATGCTGCAGATCCCGTCCAAGCAGCCGGCCAAGCGAGGGACTTGGCTTCAAACTGCAGAGCATGGCTGTCATTGCATTGTTTCTTTGTAACCCAGCTCAGGCCAGCTGCGCTGCCTCTGACGCAGCTCCGGGCACCTGCAGGAGGGACGTGGGGGGCGAGTGCTGAAGGTCTACTGTCTCGGATTGTGCTGGGAGAAGACCAAGAATGCCAAGCGCAACACAAAGAATTTCAAGAGCCGAAGACTCGCTTTGCAAGATTGAAGGATAGAGAGGCATGTCATGCGAGAGCCCGCATCTCCTGCACCGAATACCGAAGAGTTGCCAACTCGTCCGATTCAGCAGAGAAACGGATTGGAGCCTTTCTTCTTGTAGATCTCGTAGTTCCGCTTGCGTAGCAAGCGTTTGTGTAGCCAATGCAGGACACCAATCTGCATGCCGACCAACAATGCCAAACTGCGACCAAACCTCTGCAACCTTCAACCCTCACCCAAAAAGGAAAGTCACAGAGAGCCTCGACCCAAGAACACCTGGGCGTGAAAGAGCCGTACCCACGACGGCGGCATCCCCGCAACGGCAAAGCAGAAGTCCAGGAATATCATTGAAACGATACTCCCGAAACCCGTAGGGCATGCCGAGTGGAGAGGCTCGAGCCCCTCGTCGACTTCCAATCCTGGCAGGCACTGTCGGGATTCAGGGGACCGGCGCAGTTCTACTATCACGGCACAGCAATGCGAAATCGTTAGAGGCAAGACTAACCATGGTAGCCGTACATCGCAAGAGTGCAATGATCAAGACAGCTAGTCAGCCAGTTTGAGATTGACAGAATCCACACTGAAAAGCACAAGAAGCTGGACATGCTGAGGGTCTTGAAGAGTGCATTTGCAAGCAGCATCAAGAAAATCAGCAAAGCGTGCAGTAATGAACCTGTCTTCTTCTATACAGCTGCCATTGCAATGATGAGCATCTCCTGTTTGTGCACGTCCATACCATCGCTGCTGTAATGTTACACTACAAATGTATGGTAGGTATTGTATGGCCAGCAATGCTAGGAAGCACCGCTCGTGTCTCGGAATGGCATTGAAACCGTTCATTTCCTGGAGCTTCAAGAAGACGCTAATGGAAGACGCTCATGAGCACTAATGACACGACTAGCAACACTGGACTCTGCGCTTTCGGCACGTCTGCCAGCATCTGCCACCACAGCCGAATCACAAGGACACAGGCCAACTTGGCACAGTCCCATGCCCCGAAGCTCTTCGAGCAGTGAAAGTGTTTCGTGTCGAGGCCAGCCACAGTGCCTCCCGCGCCAGCACGGCCACTTCCAGGCAGCCAGGGGGGCGTGAAGGGGCGACTCATGCTCTTTGATTCTTTGAAAATTTTGAGGTGTAGGGTCTCGATAATATCGAGGACCCAGCAAGGGGCCAACTACACGATCTCCTACTCGGTACCATGTGCTTGGCCCGTGGAAGGCTTGATATGCACAGATTTACTTGTTCCGCTCACGTGCACACCCTCGCGAGCATGCAGTCATGCTGCCAGGCACCAGTACTCGTGATGGAATTGCGGTGCCTGTTGGGTTAACATGTATCTATGAGCATCATCTCGACCGTTGGTGCTTGTGTACTTCTTTGATTCTATGTGTGCTTGCATATATGCAAACTTAAAAAGGCACTTAGGGTCTCGTTTCCGCCTAGCCCTCACCTGCACATGAAGCCCTAGATCTTAGACCATCGCCCACAACCCTGAATACGGATCCTTTGACCTCCTGTCTACCTTTGCCAGGCCAACTGCCGCCAAGCACGTCCCCACAGTCTAGCATAAGGTCATCCAGGCCTTTATGCCAGGGGTGGCGGGTGGAGGTTGTGGGAAGTGCTGATTGAGGGCTGAACTTTCGGCACAGAATCGTCTGCTGTTCAGCATGTTTCAATTCCGCCACACATGCATGTTCTACGCAGCCCAGGCACTCCACGGTGGGTGCAGTGGCACGGCAAGCACCAGGCCCGCAATGGACGAGTGCAGTGACATGGGCTGCAACCGCATGCTCGAAAGCCTCCCATCCGCCAGTGGAGGCTCACAACAGAACTTACACCGAGATGTGGCAGTGCAGCCGAAAGCGTTTCACCAATCCTTGACTGTCAGCGGAATTTGGATTCGTGTAGACTTGGCTCCAGGCTTGCAGCTTGTTGCCTCCACTAGGCTTGTAGGGGGGGTTTGTCAGTCGGCTAAAGGAACACCCTCGCACAGCCGCCTTTGACCTGCATCTGCACGGCAATGCGTCTTCGAAGTTTACATTTTTTCAGCCGTGAATCAGTTCTGAGAGTGCGCGACTGAAGGGGAGGCCAGCAGACTCCCTGCGCGGGTAGCGTCGGAAAGAGCCGTAAGGTTGCATGGGTCTCGAGCCGGACACTTGTGCAGGGTCTCAGACGTACCCAGTGCGGCCGAGCACGGCGTCCCTTTCCGCGACGTGCCGAGCTCAGCATCCAATCGGTGGCCGATGTCCCCGACCTGCCCTGCACCGATCGAAATCCAGGGGTTGTGGAAACCGTTGCCTCAAGACCGAGTGGTGGAGACTTCAGAAGCACAAGAGCCGCGCCACAGGCCTGCGCAGTCTTTCGCGCAGCCAGGCCTCTCGGCTAACTCCTAAGTAGCGGAGAAACGCATACTTTTGCCTCTAGGCTCAGAGAGCGTTCACGAAGTTAGGCGCTTTGCGTCTGCATGCCGCACATCTGCCGGGTATCAGCAGGCACCCTAAACGACGAGAAGTCTAATCGAGTCTAAACTCATGAGAAGGACCTGTGTGAAGATGTCAGGATATAGACGCAAGTCACGAAAGTGCCCCGCCGGCCGCCCACACCCCCAACAATTCTGCAAGGCCTCAGTAGGTCGTAGTATGTCATGGGCCGACCGTCAGAAGCAACCAAAGCATCACTCTAGACGCCCCCCGAATGCCTAATTAGCTTGGATGCATCAGCCGATGTTTGAAGTAACTGGGACCCTGTGTCGCGCGTGAGCGATTTCCGTTCAACTGGCTCAAGTCTGCATCAAATCATTCCCTTGTCTTTTCTCCGCAATCGTGATGCACAACTTTGAAGATCTGGAAGACACCAAGGTCCGCTCGAACGGCATCGACCTATGGGTTGCATTGACCTCACATCAGGTCTCTTTGTTGGACTCAGAAGAGGGAGCACCTCCTGATCCATACTCCAAGCGCTACGGCCTTCGCCGCCGAGCCGCCGAAGCTTTGGAACGCGCCCATTGTTTCATGCAGTGGCGCCCGGACGGAGAGAGTCGACCATCGCTCTCTCACAAAGACTTCACCTTATGCAAGATCAATATCACCGCCGAGGGCTACTTATTCCTCTGCGAAACAGGCCAGATGTACTCAAGTAAGCAAGGCGAATGGCGCCTCTTGGGCAATCTCCGATCTCGCTTGAATGCACAGGTTGTGCCGGAGGAGCCTCCCATCCTCGTCTACGAACTGAGCCCTGAGATGCATCGGATTTGCTAGCTGCACGCTCGGGCCATGGGATTCCTGCGAAGGAACAGAATGAGAGGTTCCGATGATTAGAGGTCATGCCCGAACTGCCAAACCGGAGATTCGGAGAACTCCAGCCGTACAAGCCCCAGCCCAGGCGCCAACTAGGCCTAGCTAGGCTGTTGCCGCTGCATGAACATAGTCCCTTACGCAAGCGAGGATTTTGGGTTACGATATTGCAGAGTTGGGTTTAGCCGGTCATTGCTACGAGCACGGTTGTGTAGGGCTTTTCTGGGCAAGCATTGCAAGTACTCTTTGCGTTTTGCCATGAGCTGGAAGCCCTGATGTCCCGGCCGTTGTGTCCCACTTCACATTTGCGGAGATAGTTCGGCAAGTTATGCGGGAGCCCAAAAAGCAGCGGTTTGCATTAGCCCTAAATCTTAATATTTGACATGAATTATTTACTACAACGGATCTCGAAGCAGGGTCTTGCAATGCAGCAACTACAGTTTTCGGGGTTTCGCCGGAATCTGCTTAAAAGGTCTCGGTCGTTTGGGCGGCTTTAAAGATCGAGCGTAAAGGAAGCGTCCAGCACAATATACATTATGTCATTATGATGAGCCAAACCACAAACAAAACGGTGGGAGTAGCACCTGGGGCCTTGCATGATCATTGGAATCAGAACCTATGTCCTCCTCGCATGTATTCCTGTCTCTGCTTACTTGTTTTTTGGGGCTCCTTGGCGTCACCAACCATTGCTTCGCACAACCGCTTCGGAGTTAGGCCTGTGCTCCGATCATCCATGCTCCTGGGTTCATGATGGTCTGGAGATGTCTGGAGCTTGAGGCGGCGTCGTCATGGATCTAGTCCTGCTTGCTTGAAGTCAACGCTGAAGCTGACGAACCTGCGTCCTGAATGCACCGCCCTGCTATGCGGGTCTCGTCCTAGCCAAAAGCAGTCGCCCTGAGCCATTCTTCACACACTCCCGGTGCATAGGCCAGGACCATCCCGGTGACCAGACCACCGGTCAGTGCAGCCCTGACCCAGGCTTCCGGATGACATCGTTGCAGAGCTTGTCTCCACAGTCCAGCATTCACTCGGCTAGGCCAGGCCATTTTGGAAGTTGCACCAGTCGTGAAAAGCGCTGGATAGCCTTCGGTGCTTTTGGGTTAGGCTCTGCAGTGGGTTTCAGGATTTCGGATTGAGGGTGAAGTCTTCGAGACATAGACGCTGTTTACACATTACCCGGGGATACCCAGGGTCGGGGTACATTCTCATTAATTCGACGTGGGGGTGTTGAGTTGTTCAAGTTTTGGAGTTGGCCTGCCTCTGGCGCAGGGTTGTGGCGTTGCATTGTCCTCGACATCTGGTCGAACGGGCTACTCAGCCATCCCGAAGCCGCATCCTTCAAGTCCATTTTTCTTGAGTGCCAGCTCTGCTTCGCCCATGTAGTCAGGGCGTATTACCCGAAGCAGAAAGCCTCTCAACTTGATCTTGAAACCCCCTGAACACCCTCGGCGAGAGAACGATGCAGGCCTTCTGCGCATTGGGTCCAGCAGCCGCGTGCCTTGACCAAGCAGCGTTCGCTGGGAACCTGCAACTCAGCAAATGGGATGCGAGAGCAGGTGCTGAGGTATGTGTGGGCCAATGACTGATGAGCACGCTGATGGCGGTGTTGGTGATGACGGTGCTTGTTCATGGTGATGGCCGTGGTGATTGTCACGATCTGGATGTCCAACACTAGGTGGTGGTGGTGATGATGATGATGATGTCGATGGTGGTGGTAATGACGAGCATGATGATGATGAGGACGGTAATGGCTGTGATGCTGGTCGTCTTGATGATGCTTGTGATGATCAGCAAGGTGATGGTGATGATGATGATAAGATAGCTGAATGCTAAAGATGTGCCAGCGAGACGCGGTTTGACATTCAGGTGCCTTTTGTGCAAGTCCGGGCCCTGGCTTTGTCCCTCACCCCGCAAACGGCCCGACGAACAAGAACGCACGAAGCTTCTCACTGTGGAGGCACTCCCAAGAGTCAAAGCAGGTGGGCCGGGGGACCCTCTGCTGGGCAGCCGCTCATCCCACGGGAGCGTGCAGTCAGCCAGGCTGAGCGTGAAGGGCATGAGTCGCTCGAGAGTTTCACAAAACACTGGGAACTGGGTGCTGTTGGGTGGTATCTCATAAAGGGCTTTCTGTGGCAAGCTCTCACCGCTATGTACAGGCTTGGGTGTCTTTGAGGTCGTCCATTCACCGGAGTATAGTCAGAGGGTCGGGCTCAAAAGGCCAAACCTAGCCAGCCAGAGATTTGAAGTGCTCGTCGCAGCATGCCACGTGGCACCGAATCTTTTGGCATCCCTTATGCCTGCTACTCCCGTCCTGTGCGTGGCAGCCAGTATCCAGAAACAGTCCCCTGCCACTTGCATGTCAGGCCCGTCCTGCAGCCTGCCATCTACGGGTCCAGCATCACAGAAGCAAGCGAGTTTCCGCGGGTCCAAAAGATCGCAATTATCAGATTCCGTGCTGTGAACCCCTGTAAAGCCTCCGAAGGCCAAGCAGCAGTACAGCAACTGCAACGAGCAACCACAACAGCAGAACACTCAAACTTCAGGATAACACAAGTCATAGCAATCGGTACATCAAGAGAACCAATACCATGCAGTGTGCGTGGGGCATTTGCCGTAGTAGCGACTTGCTGAGCCGCATGCTAGGTCGCTTCAGTCTCTTAAGTACTGGCAATGAAACTGGGGAGCGCGCGCCGGGCGGGAGGGGACCGTCGCGAGAGATTCGAGTTATTAGCGCCAAGGCACTGCAACTGTAAACATGAAAACCACGTTGTCAAATCAGAGATAGCTGCGATATGCTTTGTTTTGTTGCTTTTCATGCTTGCACGGGTGGCCGGGATGGTGGATGAAGCCGCTGAGGTCGATACCAGCCGGCACCTTTGAAGTCGTCGGCACGACCCCAAGTGGTCCAGGTTCCTGGGCTTCACCGCATGAGGGCTCAGCCTGTCTTTAGACTTTTGGTTGCGGGCCTCTGACTGCCCCTTCGAGACAAAAGCCTCGCAGCACTTTCACGGTTTCGGGTCAGGTTCAGGTGGCAAGGCATAGAATCCTTGCCGTGATTGAAAGCAGGTCTCTTCACGACGAAGATGAGACCGTGGCAATGATCGAGACATTATCGTGTTTTTCCAGCTGTGCCGATTTAGGCAAGCAGTCCAAGCATGTGTCAAACCGGCAAACCCCAGCCTTCATGCAAGGAGGCATGTGGAGTTATTTTGTTCAGATGATCCCGATGGCCCCACATGTGGACGAGCACAGGCATCAACCTCATCTCTTCATCTGTAGGCACCGCTATACAGGCTAAGTTGCTACAATCATGTTCTCGGCTGTAGCCCACTAATGTACTTTCTCATGACCCTTGTGAGCTCGCAAGTCGCGGCACATGCTTTTCTTGGGCTTGTAAACCGAAAATAGTGCAAAATTTGCACTTCATGTCCTCCGTCTTGGGCACGGAATCCGCGTTAATCCTGTGCCAATACAAAAATCAGGCACGGACTGCTCTACATTTGGGGTCCCGTGGAGGCTCCATCCTTACGGTACTGTAGCCAATTTCTATCTGTGGGAGGTACCTCCACAGGAACCTCAATGCAGAACAATCCCCATATGAATTTCCCAGCAACCAGTGCATCCGTCGTCCTGCCAAAGTGTCTGTAGCGCATGCCGAAGATTCTGAAAGAGGGGTCCCCGGTTTGAGGGTCCTTGCAATATGCCGTCAGAGTTGTTTTCGTCGAAAAGCGCTACCGAGCCGCAGGTGCTAATGCCTCTGCCAAGCAGATTGTTTTCGCTGAATGGATTAAGACAAAGGAGTGATGCAGACGTTGTCTGCAGTTGCATGATGTTGCATTCGGTTGTTTGAAGTAGGTCCTTGCCTTACGCTGATCTCGTCATGAAGACCACAAACAACTCCCAGGCCAAGTTGCCATCAGGCCCAAGCACTAGGAGTCACTATGAAAGAATGGCCAGCGTTGTTTAATGAAAATTCAACAAGGATCCGATTCGTAAGTGGAAAAGCTGGTCAGTTGAGTTGTTCTTGTAGCGAGTTTTTGAGAGCACGATACAGTAGTGATAATCAAACCGACACCTTGCGATGCCAAGCCTGACCACACAGACCTGGAGCCACATACATTCCAAGTGGCGGAGGGTTCCATTCGCGTGCCGGTTTGGTGCCCGTCCTCGTCCGCAAGCATCGAGGCAGCGCGTGGGGCGGACATGAAGCAGCTAGCACTACCTACCGTCAGCTTCGCACCTGCAGCCAGCCACATAGGCTTGTATATACAGAGACTTCAAATATTATTTCGCTCATGACATCAACCAGTGAATAAAGCCGGAATGTGGTACTTTGACTTTGACAGACCGGAAGGAATCCAATAGGTTTGGAGAGAGCCGGAAAGGATCAGCGTCCGGGCTTCAGCTGAGACCTTGTGATGAGTTCCTCCTTGCGGTGTTCGACATAAGCGTCCCTGTTGATGCTTGATGGTCCGTGATCACAAACTGACGTGGAAAAACCGTTGTGGTTACACGGTTACAGCCTTCCCCGCCTCAAGCCTGAGATTCCGTGGGTAAGTGTCTTGACAGTGACAGCATGTTTAATTTCGGGATTGGGCTGTCCTCTCTGCTTGTCTGTCTGTACATCTCTCTCTCTCTCTCTCTCTCTCTCTCTCTGCTTCCCCCTCCATGCGTATACACATACCTGCATACATTGCTTGCCACTATTTCGTGTCCCGAGGGTTTTTCGCCGGCGCAACTGCATGGCAACTGGGGCCGCCAGCGAGGCGGTTCAATGTGCACTTGGCATCTGGGGTCGGGAGGATTGAAGCGACCCAGTGCAAATCCATGCTGTGCACAGGCAGTTTAGTTCTTTGTTACGTTCTGCAGCGCATGTCCTGCAGTAATGTTTTGGCCTTGTTCAAGCTGCCCAGAGTAGCCGTATCGGATGCTCATGCGACGTCCTAAGCTCAGGTGCCGCCGCAACTTCGGCTCGAGATGTATCACGGCTGTTGCTTCACTTTAGGGCTACGAAGACCGAGCCCTAGCGTTGCTCAGCTACGTGCCAGACCTCGTCGAGGGCTCCCTTGACGATCCAAGGCCAGCACTTTATCAAACAGTGGGTACTTGCGCTTGGGCTCAATGACATGCTCCAATCGTCTTGGCATGTCTTCCGGAGTTTGACGGGCACAGCGGTACAACGATGTACTGTTCCAGTGTGGCATGCCGAGTAGCTAGGTTCTGTCCGTTATCCTTTTGACTAAGAGCAACGATCCCTGTGCCAGCCCGAAATCCTCTTAGGTCCTTTGTTCGATTGTGACCCCTCCGGAACTAAGTAATGGTGACATGGACTACTTTGGCTACAGCTGCACCGATACACCAGCCTTAGTTCTGTCAGCATTGTCAAAAGCATATGTTGAAACCACGAGAGCTGGATCTTCGAGGTGAGGGCATGAGGGCATGTGCACTGCAGCCATGCCCCTCCTAAAAAAACTTGTTGTCAACAGACAACAGATTTTCCGTGGGAGTGCAAGGCAGCTGTCAGCAGCAATAAGGTAAACAGTCTTGAGGTCACGGCAAAACAAGAAAGACAAACAGCAGCGCCACAACTTTGCACTACGACAACGACTTCTACCGCCACTGCCATGGCGACAACGACTGCAACGACGCAATCAAGGGCAGTTGTATTTTTGGGCTCTGTCACTAGCACTGCCGCGACCACGGCCACGACCACGACGAGGACGACTACAACGACGACGGCTATTACGATAACGACGACCACTACCGCTACCACTATCGCCACTGCTACTGCTGCGACTATGGCTGCGACTCTAGTTACATCAAACTACGACGACTACTACTGCGGCGACGATTGCTACTGCCACCAATGCTGCTACTAGTTGCTGGTATGGGTATTGCTACAGGTGCCCTTGTCTGCTGCCAGGCTTCACCATAACGTTGCCGCAGGGCAAGAGGCAGAGGGCTTCGACGAGATCTGGCTCTTTGCTGTTGTGTCTTGTGTTGCTGATGCTGTTGTTGCCTATGTTGTCGTTGTCGAAACCATTCGTCTTCTGAACGTTGCCCTTGCACTCAGAATGTCGTTGATGTTGATGTTGCGGTTTGTGGTGCTGGGTTCGCAGGTGATGTTGCTGCTGACATCTTTTGATGTGATCAACTGTGCGCTGTGTTTTGCTAATCTGTGACGCTGCCGCCGCTGCTGCTGCTCCTGGTGCTGTTGATGATGACCTTGATAGTTGTGGTGGTGCTGGTAGTGGTACGTAGTGGCGGTGATGATAATGTTGATGAAGATGTTGACGATGGTGATGTTCATGCTCATGAAGTGTGTCGCTTTTCTTGTAGCTCGAGTATTTGCTGACTTTTGCCGAAGCATCGCTACTATTAGTGTTGTAGCCGCGCTGTTTGTCATGATGGTGATGTTCGTGATCATACCCACTTCGATTGCGGGTTCAATCCTTATGGAACATTTTGCCGTTGCTCCTCTCAGCTCATGCTTTTCTTGCCTGGTAGTTGACAGCCGGCGGTGCTATTGCAGTCCCCCCTGACGGAGGCATGGGCTCATGTGCCACCGCCTTGAAAAGAAAAGATAAAGTGCATCCTGGGTCCGAGGAGCGGAAGGGAATTGGAGTCTCGCGGCTTTGCAGCGGGGGCACTGAAAGCAAAGAGTGACGGCTTACATACAGTTTAAGAATTCGGGGTGTAGTTCCCCGCTACAGGGCATGTTCAAGGGTTTTAGCCTCGCGCTGCAGATGCTACCACTGGTGAAGACGTCCGTGCAAGACCTGGGCCTCATTACGGTCTACCTTTCAGGGTTCCGCGCTGGCTTTGCAAAGGAAGCTGCCCGAAAACCGGACTTAGAGAGGAACGCTGAGACTTGGAATGTAGATCTAAAGAGCCATGGCAAGAAAACCGATGTTTGGTTTGGATTTCGTGTGCGCGCAGGACTACTCTCGAGTTGCCGGGGCCTTACCCTGTGCGCAGGAGTTGACGTAGCAAGGTAACCAGCAAACTGTAGAGTTTAGAGACTCTTCAACCTGCTCCTCGCGCCTCACCTGTATGCACCTCCTAACCGTGAGATGGGTGTCCTGCCGCTGCCAAAGCTGTTCGCCGGGGCTTTCGTGCAGGAGAGTGAGTGTAGCAGTGTAGCTCAGCTGACCTTATCTTGGAGTTTGATAGTGCCACCTCGACAGCTCCAGGGGCCTGGTTTCCCGGAGGCGCCTCAGCAGCAAGAGCACAAGCTTCACGCATCGTACTACGCGCAGTAGCCGCCGAGGTGGTGCGCACTTGCGAAGAGTCGAACTCTGTCGGTCGGTCGGTCGGTCGGTCTGTCTATCTGTCTGTCTGTGTGTGGGAGTGTGTTTTCCCGCAAGCTGTTTGCGGAAGTGAATGTCGGAGCGAGTACAGTGGCTTTTTTGTTCCAAAACGCTGCAGTGGCAGTGGCTGTCAGCCGGCAAAGAGTGGGCCAGGGGAAATGATGTCAGACCCCAAACCAGATTTCATGCTAACACTTTGTGGTGGCATGGGGAGCTCCCTAGCTACACACGTCTTAATCGTAGCAAGGAAGGCAGGAGGGCGTGACGTCACCATTGCAGCACCCGCCCGTTGTGGAAGTGGTCTTGATCATCGTGCAAGTCTAGGCTCTAGGAGACAGTTTTTCCAGTGCATCACGCCGAGAACTGAGGCAAATGCAGGCCTCGATGCGAGCGGAGCCCAGTTGGCCGATCTTGATGCACTGAAACCGGAAAGCATGTTGTCGGCCGACCCAGTGCATGCCGCGTTCAGCTGCTGCGACTGGTGGTGCTGCATTAGGCAAATCCTGGTTTAGCTGCTTTCTCTTACTCAGAGCCCCTCCCTTTGCAGCCGGCTGCTACAGAGACATTCAAGCAAGCTAAATCTGCCCACTGAGGAGCAATGGGAGCGCAGCTCCTGCACAAGGCACTCTGGTATATTCTTGTTCTGGAACTTTCCAGTCCGGCGATTTTCGACAGAACTGAGAGACCTGGATACAGTAAGAGTTTTCTCGGATTGGTTGGTCAGTTGGTTGTCTCTTGGTCCCTGTTTTCGGCGAACTGAGGAGTTTCGTGTACAAG